CTGAGCAAGGCCCCTTTTCATTGCCCTGAAAAAGGAGTCCGTGGATCGAAAAGAACACCTGATTAGAAGTTCTCCGTGGGCTTGGCTCTGAAGTTCAGTTGGTAGACTGAACACCACAGAACAGAACACACAGAAATGTGGTGTTTGCTGGTATGAGAGCTTGGGGGAGGCAAAAGCGGGCTTCTGGAGTGGGGCAGTTTGGGGCCCTGCACAGAGGTCAGGAAGAGGTTATGTGAGAAGAGCCTGATGAACCCCTGAGGGGTGTTTCAGTGAGTCTGTGAGTCCCACCAAAGGTCCAGAGAGCCTGGACTCCTTCCTGCCCTCTTGACTCTTGGCTCAAACAGGACTAGAAGGAGGCCTTTCTCTGCTTTGGACCTGGGCGAGCCAGCTTCTGAGTGTCCCCAGCACCAGAGGAGAGAGCTGAGTTCACTGTGACAGCTGTCCCTGGGGCCTATGGAATACACGCTCAACCTGTCGCCAGCCTGATGTTCCCTAGCTGACTGTTTTGTTGTGCTTTCAGTGTTTCCCTGGGTAGGGCCCTACGTGCTGTTTCCAACGTGAAATGCAGACTCTGAAAGAGAAGACAGTGCCTGGGGCCTGACATATCCCAAGACAACTGTCCTAATGCTCCTGGGACCGATTAAGACCGAGGAGGTCAAGCCTGTACCTGTGGGGAATGACGTGTGTCTCAAGTCCTTTGACGTAGCCTTGTGAATCAGGATGAGCACGCTGACAACAAATAAGCTCATTAATTCAGTGGGTGGTGATGCCAGCCCTCTAAACGTTCAAATGGGACTTGAATATTTACTGGGCATACTACAGGAAGATTTTTAATTTTGAATGAGTGACGTACAGCATTGGGGAAAATAATTGTCAATATTAAATTTAAACAGGGTATACTGGTCAAATACAGAAAGCAAGGGGATGTGGAAGCGTAATTTAAGTGTGGCTTTGGAATTGTTTTGCTATTTTAATTTGGCCCCTAGCTTTTCGGATCAGATGACAGAGTATATTAAAAATGAAAAAAATTAATTTTGATAAAATGCATGTAATATAAAATTTACTGTTTTAAAGTGTACAGTTCAGTAGGGTTAAATACATTCACATTGTTGTGCAACCAATCTCCAGAACCCTTTCATCTTGCAAAACTGAAACGCTATACCCATTGAGTGACAAGTTCCCCCCTCTCCCAGACCCTGGCAACCACCATTCTACTTTCTGTCTCTATGAATATGACTTCTAGGTGCCTCATGTAAGTGGGATCATACAGTATTTGTCTTTTTGTGGCTGGCTTATTTCACTCAGCATAATGTCCTCAAGGTTCATCCATATTGTTACATGGATCAAAATTTCCTTACTTTTTAAGACAGTAATACTTGATCATATGCATGGACATTTTGTTTATCTGTCCATCCATCAATGGACATTTGGGTTGCTTCCACCTTTGGCTATTGTGAACAATGCTGCTATAAACAGGGCTGTACAAAAATACCTCTTTGAGACCCTGCTTTTGATTCTTTTGGATATATACTCAGAAATGGTAATGCTGGAATCATATGGTAATTCGAGTTTTAATTTTCGGAGGAACTACTATACTGATCTCCACAGCGGCTGCACCACTTTCCACTCCCACCAGCAGTGCTCCAGGGTTCCAGTTTCTCCATATCCTCATCGACATTTGTTATTTTCAGTTTAAAAAAAAATGTTGATAGCAGCCATCTTAATGAGTGTGAGGTCTAGATGTAATTTTTGAAGGTAGTAGTGTGGCAATGATACTACATGAAAGTAAGTTGAACTGAGCTGACTGGGGAAGAAAGTCTCTAGCTGTGAGTTTCCAGGCTGCACACAGGGATTTAAGGTATCAGTGTTTGGTGGCTGTCTCTTTCCACATACTAACTCAGAAAAGTGGACCTCTCTATTAATTCTGGAAACATGGATTTTGTGTTTTTAGGCTTTTGGGAAGCAAGAAAACTCAGAGTTGAGTGTACTGGTTAGGGTTCAGGCAGGCTTGGGGCTCACCCTTTTGTCCCCTGACAGGCTATTCTAATGTGCACCACTGACAGGGAGACAGACCCTGTTATGGGCTGTATCGCGTACCCCTAAAATTCATATGTTGAAGTCCTAACACCCAGTACCCCAGAATGTGACTGTATTTCGTATCTCCTCACCCTTAGATATTAGAAACGTTCAGTGGTCCCCATAGGTAGCAAATACAGTTTCAATTCGGAAACTGGAATGGTTCAACTTGAACTTGATTTAGTATCTGATCTTTTCCCTTCCACTGACTCAGGCCTGCTTTAAGCTGGAAACCTCCTATGGTGGATAGAAAAGTGGCCCAATTGACAACTGGTCAACGGGGGATTTTGGTTGGGAGGTTAGACAGCTAGTGCAGTGGTCTGGGGTATGTTGCACATCAGCTCAGACTAAGCCCATCTGGCAGATTTTGTGAGGCACTCAGGTAAACAGAGTGAATGAATTCACCTCTCCTGCCTTTCTTAAATCAAGAAGCTGAATTTTGTCTCAGAGGTATAACACTCAACCCAGATTACACCAGGAGTAACTATAATAAATCCAGGACTTGAAAAATCTGTGGAACTCCAAAGCTGATGATCTTTGAGTTATACAAGTATTTTTCAAACTAGTTTCCTTGGAACACTAGGATGGTTCAGGCCGTCTTTGGGGGATGGACTGGGCTTGTGAGTTGTTATAACAAAATACTACAAATTTTGTAGCATTTGGGTGGTTTAAAACAAATTTATTGTCTCACAGTTCTAGTTCTGGAGGCCAGACCTCTGAAATCAAGGTGATGGTAGGGCCATGTTTCCTCCAGTGCCCCTGGGGGAGGATCCTTCCTTGTCTCTTGCAATGACTTGTCACCCTAGGCGCTCCTTGCTTGTGGTGGCATCGCTCCAGTCTCTGCCTCTGTCTTCACATGGCTGTCTTGCCTCGGAGTCTGTGTCTTCATGTGGCTTTCTCCTCCCTCAGTGTCTCTCTCATCTTCTTATGACGCCGGTCATATTGAATTCAGGGCCCGTCCTACTCTGGTATGACCTCACCATAACTTAACTCATCACATCTGCAAAGACCCTATTCCCAAATAAGGTCACATCCACAGGGGCGAGGAGTTAGGATTCCAACACATCTTTTTTTTTTTTGCGGGGGGGGGACACAATTCAGTCCATAAGAGGCGGGAGACAGGCCATGTGGGTGGGGTTCTCATCTTCACCCAAATTTCAACTAGGGCTGCCTTGCTTTTGCCTGCTTAATATTTTGGGATCCTCCGAAGGACTTTGAGAAAGAGTGCCACTGGAAACCACCTGTCTGTGGTATATGCCACTTTTTACAAAGAAACAGGCAAACACATCATTCAGCTGGCCCAGAAACTGCTTTTGCTGAAGGTTTACAAGCCCAGTATCTCTTCTATGTGCTCGATCTGATTCAGCGCAGGCAGGGCACAAACGGCCAGTCCCCGCTGATGGCTGTGGCTCTTGAACCACCACTGAGAATAGAGTGAATAGCCTCAGTCTGGCCATTCTCTCCATCCCTGTTCCCTTTGAGTCCCCTTGAATCGCCTTACGTGCAATGCGTGTGTGGTCTGTTCCCCGGGGGTCTCTGCGTCAAGTATTCTATCCCTTACGCTTTCTGATGCCTTCAGAACCCAAAGCATCCCTTAATTAAAGGCAGTGGGTGGCATGATGACAGGATTAGTATCAGTGTCTGGCCTCCCTAAGGACCAGGGGACATTGTGGCTGACGTTTTCCCATCTGTATAACCAGCCTGTTTATAAGTTGATGCAAAATCTAAAAGGGGGTGAGGCATGTATCTTCTGGGCTTGCCGTCTGCTCTACTGGCTTCAGGAAAAGAGTGGCGTTAAGTCCCACAGGAGTCGTCTGGTTGTTTCCCTTCATTGCAAATGTAGGGTGCTGTGGCTTTAAGTGCATTGCTATTCTGCCCCTTGCTTCACTGCAGAATGAACAACAATGATGTTCTGCTGAACATCAATTACAGACGTTTTAGAAAGGGCTCAGCCGTTTTGTGAGAATGAAGCTGTATTACTCAAGTGTAATGAGCCAAGAGGAAAAACGTCTCGTTTTCATGCAGCACTAGTACAGACCCATGCCCTGGCTGCCAAAGATCCTTTTGTGAGTTTGGAAGGTACAGAGTATTCACTCAGCCTTATGAGCACTAACGTGAAAGAAACCTTCTGGCTTAGGAACTGAGCTGAAATGAATAGCAGGGACAGAGCTTTTGCCAACTAATTATCGACGGAATATTCAAATACAGAGTTTGCAAAATGCCAGCTCCTTAGTGGCCCCTCCACCAAGCCGTCTCCTACCCCCCAAACACACACATGTGAAAAGGGTTTAGAAATGATCATCAACTCGAAGTAAATTCTTTTACAAATCCAATATTTATTTTATTTTCTTAAGTACAAAGTAAACTCTAAATGAACATAAAACGAAATAAAATCCTTTCGGCTGTACTGACTTTAATTGCCCATTATCTTATTGTCACAATTAATCATATAAACACTATATGGACTGTCACCACAATGTCACATTTATTATACAGAAGGAATGTGATATTTGGCTAGTTAAGAATGTTAAATAGACAGAAGTAGATCATAAAGCAACTGGGGGAGTAGAGTGGCGGTCAAAGTATTCTGAGATCAACACTGTATTAAAAGAAGTAATCTAGGAACTTCCCTGGTGGTGCAGTGGTTAAGAATCCGCCTGCCAATGCAGGGGACACGGGTTCGAGCCCTGGCCCGGGAAGATCCCACATGCTGAAGAGCAACTAAGCCTGTGCGCCACAACTACTGAGCCTGTGCTCTAGAGCCCATGAGCCACAACTACTGACCCCGCGTGCCACAACTACTTAAGCCTGCACGCATAGAGCCTGTGTTCCACGACAAGAGAAGCCACCACAATGAGAAGCCCGAGCACCGCAACAAAGAGTAGCCCACGCTTGCCGCAACTAGAGAAAGCCTGCACGCAGCAACAAAGACCCAAGGTAGCCAAAAATAAATAAATAAATAAAAAAGAAGTAATCTAAACAGCAAATTTCCAATCAAGAATTGTGTAGTTAAAGGCCCAAATGCACTTTTACTTGGTTGACCCAGCATAAAAGAACCACTGTTGCATCCAGAGGACATGGACAGCTGATGTGTGAAACATATACAATTGAGCTGTGAGATAACGAAATTGTGAGTTGGGAGTGAGATTTTGGAGAGTACCATTATTTCTATAGGAGAGTCTGGTAGCAAGGGCATCATTTTGAATTGAACACTGCAATAGTGTGTTGGGGGCGACTCAATTTCTTTGCTGATTTATGGCAAAACAGACCTACCTTGGGTAAGAGATGAAGCCAAGGGTAACATCACACATGCAAAGATTTTTAAAATGAGCTGAATCATGTAGTTTTACTTTTTTTTTTGCTAAACTCTATTATTAAAAGGCTTTTTAAGAAACTCAACATCTTTAAGTAACTATGTACCCCCAAGTGATCCACGTACAGGTTTGTTTTAAGCCAGTCAGCTCTTTGGGCCCATTTCTTTGCTTGGTAGCTGCACACGAAGTTCTCTTGGGAACAGGCCAAGGGGACAGACATTGACTTGTTCTGATCTCTAATAGCTTGTGCGTGTTTTTTAAAATAACATGAGAAAAAGAGTGTACTTTTTAAAATTCAGAATCTAATTTGTAAAACTACTATCATTTTAGCATGAGCTCAGTGTTGACATTTTCAGATCAATCATAAATAAATTCTCCCAAGAGAGGTATTTCTAGAGGAAGTGGGAAAAACGTGAACTAAAGATACAGCTCCTGCACCATAAATATCAGCCACTTTGGGCTAAGTGCTCTCTCAGGGGCTGAAAATAATGCGTAAGAGCATACATGCATATACCTTAGTTTACAGAGGTGGAATATAGGAAATTTTGAATGATCTACATCTGGTATAGTTGGTATAGTTGCTAATATTACGAAACTGCCATTTTGCAGATTCTCTTGAACGCGTGATAATAACCCATCACACACACAGCTTTGACAGACCCAGTTTTCTGCCTTCCTATGGCAGGACAGAAATCAGTTTAAAAAATCTTGTTACAAGTTGGACTTAAATTACACATCAATTATGGATTGCTCACTGGACAATGAAAGAACATATCAGAAGTCAGTTTTCACCAGTGGACTTTCATCTTCACTGGCTTCCATCTAAATGTCCAGAAGGTCATCTCCGCTTTCGTCGCTCTCCACTGTCAGCTGCCGTGTCCACCACTTCTTAACCTCGGAACCACAGGAAGCTGTGTCTGTCATGGGGTTCATTTTGCACACGACAGATTTCATTGTGGTCCGCCCTCCAAACCGTAGGTTGACCGAAGACACCGAGTGGCTTATTGGTTTTGGTGCTGTGGAATCAACAAGAGTCCCGTGAGCAGCCTGGTGTGGCTTCTCCCCCCCCCCGTTGCTAGCCATTCCTGAAACCCCCGATGGTTCTGTCAGTCATACTTCCCAGGAGCAAGTCCTACCCATAGATGTCACGTATGAAACCTTTCAAATACTTGGTTCTTTATATTCATAGTGGACTTTAAAATCATGTTCATGGACTAGTAACACCATTTGAAAAAAATATGTCGCTTGCAATTTTGGGGTTTTTTTTTTTGTTGTTTTTCTGCGGTACGCGGGCCTCTCACTGTTGTGGCCTCTCCCGTTGTGGAGCACAGGCTCCGGACGAGCAGGCTCAGCGGCCATGGCTCACGGGCCCAGCCACTCCGCGGCATGTGGGATCTTCCCGGACCGGGGCACAAACCCGTGTCCCCTGCGTTGGCAGGCGGACTCTCAACCACTGCGCCACCAGGGAAGCCCTGTTGCTTGCAATTTGAGATAACTACAAAAACCAAAAAAATCACTGAAAGTTCCAGTTTGGGCAAATAAAGTGTCATGGAAATGTGTCGGCGTTCATTACTATATACATATTAATATAAAGAAACAACAAAGGAAAAGAAGGGATAGTGTAATAGACAGTGAGGGGAGACGAAGAGGTTTGGAGAAGGTAAGGGAGGAAAGATGTGGGTAAATAACATTTTTTTTTTGTAAAAACAGAAGTGTAGCATCAGAGAAAAAGGCATGATTCCTGGACAGATTTAAAATACGCTAAGGGCAGCATTCATCTTTCCAGTCCATGTGCCTGGATAAAGCAGCTTGTATGAAGACTTTGTTGACACACTCATGGCTTTGGGATTCTATCAATCAGTCATGGTTTGGGGTCCCACTTCTGTGACCTGTAGATGTAACCAACATCAAGTTCATGCCTCTGAACCCAAGTTTCCTCAAGTGCAAAATGAAGAGATTACAAGTTTCCTCACTGGACTGTTGTGAGAATTAAAATAGATTAAATGAGATGACCTAAGAAAATGCAGAGCAGAACCGCCATGTAGTCCAGCACTCCACTTGAGGGTGCACATGTGAAGGAGACAAGATCACTATCTTGAAGAAATACGTGTATCCCTATGTTCATGGCAGTATTGTTCACCATAGCCAAGATATGGAAACAACCTGTGTCCATCAATGGATGAATGGATAAGGAAACCGTGGTGTGTATCAAATGGAATATTTACTCAGCGTTAAAAAAGAAGGAAATCCTGCCATTTGCAACAACATGGATGGACCTGGACGGCATTATGCTAAGTGAAATCAGTCAGACAGAGGAAGGCAAATCCTGTATGCTCTCAGTTACATGTAGAATCTAAAAAAGTCAAATTCATAGAAGTAGAGAGTAGAATGATGGTTACTATGGGTGGGCAGGTGGGGGAAATGGGGAGGTGTTGGTCGAGGGGTACGGAGTTTCAGGTGTGTAGGATGAATGAGTTCTGGCGATCTAATGTCCAGCATGATGAATATAGCTAATAATTCTGTATTGTATACTTGAAATTTGCTGAAAGACTAGATTTTAAGTGTACTCACCACAGACACACACGCGGTAGCTTTGTAAGGCGACGCATGTTAATTAGCTCTACTGCAGTAATCATTTCACAGGGTGAACGTTTATCAAAACATCACATTGTACACCTTAAATGCATACAACTTTTACACAAGAACAAAAGGGGAAAAAGAGAAAAAGAAAATGCATAGCATGACACTGGGGGGGTACATCGTTGGTACCCCATCTTGAAATGCTCTTTTTCCTGCCCAGTGCCTCTTCAAACTCAGGGTGTCCCCAATACCATGTCCCTTTAATTATCACCGTTGCTGGCACTGGGGCCACTTATGGGCCTTTGAAGCCACTTTTGACAGCATCCTTTCTTTCATCCTTTTAAGTGAATACCAAGGACTGTGCATCTCTCCTAGGTCGTCTTTCCTGTCCGTCCCTCCATGGTCTGGACCACCGCCTTCGCCCGTGTCCTCATCGCCTCTCGCCCACACTATTACACCATCCTCTGGCTCGTAACCCTGCCTCGGGGCTCTGCCACAGACAGCCCACTCTCTACACTGCTGCCACGTGAGTCTTCCTCAGCAGGATTCCAAATGTCATGTCTTGCTCAGAAATCTCTCCTGGTTCCTGACTGCTTACAGGATGAAGTTGAAACCACTCAGCCTGTAATTTGGGGTTGTTCATGGCCTGGCCCCAGCACTTACTCAATCTTGTTTCCCCTCACTCCCGGCTTTCCTTTACCAGGTTGAAGAAAGTCCGGTTCTCTCTGATCCCTGCATAATAGCCTCCGGGGTAGGAAAAAAGAGATTCCCCTCCCTGGTGTTAAGTGGCACTGGACAAGGGTAAGGCACACTGTCTTCTGCTTTGCGGGTCAGATGTGCTACGGAAGACTTTGCAACAGTCTCTGTCTCTTCACTTGAATCAGGCTGAGGAGGGGACACAATTCTAGAGCCTAGGAAGCCCCCGCTTTCCCGCGGGCTCACTTCTCTACAGAGGAAACCCTGGGCCGGGCAGATCATTGCTCTCCTGCCACCTCTGCGTGGCCTGAATGGGCCGGGCAGATCATTGCTCTCCTGCCACCTCTGCGTGGCCTGAATGGGATTATCCTGGCTTTCCAGACCCCCATGTCCCTCTAGAAGAAAACGCTCTCACTGAATCAATAAAATGTGGAAAATAATAGGACCGTGAGGCTTACAGGAGGGAACGTGTGTGTAAGGCCCTCACAACAGTGATTGGTGTACAGTAGGTACTATAACAGATGAGACTGCACTAAATAAGTTTTGTTGTTCCTTCTTTGAGAAACCTGTGTCATTTCTGAGTGACATGTATCCACCTACTCCCTCTTAGATTAAATGAATGTTGCCTACGTTTGGGAATGCCTGGAACGTGCACCAGAAGTCCCTGGTGGTAATCGCCACCACTCTCTAGATCGTGGTTATAATATCGTTATTAGGTGCTGCCTTCTCTATTAGCTGAACACAAGGGGTAATACTGTTCTGTTCAGAGAAGTTATTTCGAGGGAAATGTTTTTGATGAGGGAAATACCTTTTTCATTATTTACTGTCTATAAATATAACTTTAGAGGCAGACCTGCCTGAATTTTGAAGTTCACGACCCCAAACACACAAAGAGCATATGGATGCCCTGAAAATGCCCCACTTGCTCGAGAAAGGACTTGCCATACATACCCGAGGGCAGGCGCCACTGGCCGAACTTCCTCTGGGGCTTCCCGGCCTCGGCTGCGTCCTGCCGACTGGCTCCCCGGTCCGACAGCGTGGGGCTCAGAAGCCGCTGCCGGCTGCTCGTCTGCAGGGGTGCGGGCGGGAGAATCAGGCGGTTATTCCTCGTGCTGTGCTCTCCTCCTCTGTGCACTGGCCTGGACCCTCATTTCATTTTAAGGAAGGAAGAAAGCCCCGCAGGAAAGTAAGTGGCGAAGACAACACGGACCCATAGTGTCAACAATGGGGACAGGAAGAGTGAAAATGGGTAAAAAGAGTCAGGGAAGCTGGAAGAGTCACCACTGCACAGGGTGAGGAAAGCAGGCCCGACCCTGCAGGTAGTGCTTTTTCTTGGGCATCCCTCCCAGACTTCTCCACTCCCAAGGCCACACACCTGCCACCCCTGGGGGCACTGCCACGTACCAGGGCGGGGGGGGACAGCGGGACTGCCTGGTTTGGGGACAGTACACGCTTGCCAACCCAGAGCCTCCAGAAGAGTTCTCAGCGGACAAAGCTCTAGGATGGGCCCCCGGAAGAGAACAAAACTTAAACCAGTTAAGACTGAAGCCAAAGAGAAATGCTCAGATCTCCATGCATTTCACCCCATCTCCGGTTCACCATCCGCATCCCTTTCCTTATCAGCACCGTAGTCCTCACCTCTCTTCAGTGGCCCCTCTTGGGCTTTTTGACCTAAAACCAGAGAGCTCTGTTGCCATCACTTCCCCTGTCTCGCTGGCTGTGAGGCAGGAGATAGATGGGCCCCAGGCTGAACAGCTGGAGTGCGTCCCCCGTGGACAGAGTCCAAGATGAAGAGGAGAAGCTGAGCCCTGCCCAGATAAAGAGACCACATATTCCTCATCCTCGAGGTCAAGGAGACCTTCCCGATTACACACGCGCAGAAAGGTTCCTCGGAGGTCAAAAAGGGAGGGGGGCGCCACCCCATGGTAGGTGATGTCAACCTACCCATAGGCCTCTTCACTAGAATCCATCTTGGCTAAGAGATGAGTGCGCACACAGGGGAGGACCCTGAGATATGCCAAATACAGGCTCAGAACCAGGCAAAGCAAGATGATTGGCCAAAGGAAGCTGGAAGAAATGCCGCATATAAGTGATTCAAACTACCGGGAGGGCGCGACTCTCCCTCTGAGCCCACCCGTGTGTCTAGCCACACGTATTCTTTTTCCTCCTAAGAAACACTTTACTTGTTTCACTACTTTTTGGTCTCCGGCCGGGGAACCGAAATCCTGCTTCAAGCCGCTGCAGGCCAAGGTCACCCGAGATCAGCTGTCTTGCTCTTACCCCGGCACCACACGCGACCACTGCCAGCCATCCTCAGGGCAGACAGGCGGCAGGGCCACTGTAGAAGCCCCACGTCCCTGCTGTGTTGACCGTCCCTGCACAAGTAGTCGGTGGCACGTGACTCCTACTGGCTGGGGAGCCAACGACATGAATCCACCCAAAACTGGGCTGTAGAACAAGAGGGCCCCTTAGAGCATCCTGCTGGGCCACGGAGCCCCAGGCTTCAGCGTCTGTCACCTGCCCCGACTGTGTCACCACACACCCAGATCCGAGACCAGCTCCAGCCGATTCATAACTAAACCTCGCAAAGGCCAGGCCTCCCGCCAGCTGCTTCTCACACACAAGCTCTCCAGGACGCTGGTGACTCTGTGCTTTTTTTTTATGGACGTGCAGATGCAGTCTGGAAGTGAAGCTATGCCAGGCCCTAGTACACAGAAGGTCCTCAAGCTAAGACTCCCCAAATTCCATATGCTCTTCTGATGCCCAGCTAAAGAAGGACAAATCCTCAATGAGCCTGACTATTTAAGGAGGTGGAAGGCCAACTGCAAGCATTTTTGCTCATTTTACTGCAAGTTTCCGTGACTTGGTGAGGAGGAGAAAACACTTAGGACAGAGCTTCAGGCAAGCCATGTTCTCCTAAGTCATGTGATGTTAACTCTTCAGCCAAAAATCAACAGGATTATTAAGTTCAGAGCGTTCCCACTGTTTTTTGTATCTATACAAATCAGAATCTTTTGAGATAACCTCCACTGATTCAGGGACGACAAAGACACAAACATCAACTGGATCAACGTGTTCCAGTTTTTTTTTTTTCAACTTAACTTCCTATTAGAGATAGTGTCACTTGTTTAAAATGACTACGTGTTTTGCGAACACCTTCAGGTGACGGGCGCCTCCCGCCCCGGACCGTACCTCGGGTTGCATGTTGTTATCCTGACTGTTGGCGTTCAGGTCCTCGCTGGGCTGCGTGGTCTCAATACTGGGTGGGTTCAGAAACCGGCTCAGCTCCTGCTGTTGGCTCTCTCTCAGGCTGTGGATGATGCTGCAGGACTGCTGCTGTTTCTATGGAAATAGGATTGTTCTTTCAGGGACCAGAATTTCAGCCCAGCATCCCCCTGCCCGCACCGCTCAAATCTTATTTTCTTCTCTCTTCTTCAAAGGACCTGAATGCCTGGTCACCTCTTAAGAGCTTCCAAGTAAAGGTTCTTAACTGATTTCCCTGAGGAGTATCAGATTGCTTTAAAGGAGGACTTGGGAGACTTAGGAATTGCCTTCCCATCCTGTTTTCATTTGCATAACAATTGGAATAGTTATGCTCACTGATACTACCTTGTGTTTTACTTTAAATAGAGTTTTTTTCCTTCTCTGAAAACATTTTTTTTAATCGAAGTATAGTTGATTTGCAATGCTAAGTTTCAGGTGTACAGCACAGCGATTCAGTTATACATAAGATATAAACATTCGTTTTCAGATTCTTTTCCTTTGTAGGTTATTACATAATACTGAGTACAGTTCCCTGTGCTATACAGTATAACAGAAGTTTTAGATCATTAATGTGAGTTTCTATTTTTTTCCCTTATCTTACACTGTGCTCACTAAGCCAATGTGGATCTCTCCTTTCCTCTAAATTGGAAGAGGCAGGAGAGGCAGGAGACTTGGGTGGATGAGTGAAACCCTTGCTTCGCTCTTGTCTTGGCTCTGGTTGGAGCAGGCCAATCCGGCAGCGGGCCAACCTGTCTTGGCGCACACTGAGGCCTGAACGGGTGAGTGGGCACTGCCCATGCCCTGTCAGGGCCTGTGGGGGGCAGACGTGATCCCTGACCTAGCAGGGCTATGGTGGCCCAGCTGCCTCAGCTGCCTTGCTATTCGAGGTTGGACTGGCTCCTTGCTCTGGGGACCTTTCCTCCTCCAATAGATATGTTTCGAAGTTGGTGTTGTTCTGAGAAACAGGATAAAAAAAAAAATCTGTTATGGATAAATGTTTAGTGGTTAGTTTGATTTTCTTCCCCTGTGTGTGAAGCATAGGTCAAAACCACTCATAAAAGTAATAACCTAATAGAAGTGCCCACTGTAAACACAGTCTATGTCAACACAGTGTATGTTCATGGATTTATGAGTTAGAGAGTCTTAAAGCTTCTAGTTCAGGAAGCAGATCATAAACTCTGGGGAGAGGCGGTCTTTAATTAAAGATCAAACAACATTGTCAACAATATGTTGGTATTTTTAGGAGTAATTTAAAAGTAGTTTTGTAAATTCAGTTGCCGTTCAGTATGTAGAGATTTCTGGCATTGTGAACACTCATGTTTCATAAATGGAGATCATAACTATTTTAATATCCATAAACTGCTTTTTCAACATTCATGCTAAGTTATAAAAATGTGATTCAATGGAAATTTCTTATGGACTTTGCTCAAGAGGGTATGGCTGAAGGTGGACCAGAATTCAGGTTTGAATCATCGTAAGTGGATAAAGGTGACGTGGCTATGGGCTCATAAGGTGATCACAGAAGGCTCCAGCGTAGGTGCTGAAGAAGCCCTTTCCGTTTGACCCTCCTTCCCCCCCTCCTTTGGGAGGAGGGAGTAAAGCCTGACAGGTCCGGCTCACTCACGGCTCTGATGCGCTTTAAGCACTTCTTCAGCCACATGCGGATGGTCTGCTTGGCCACCTCCTCCTCGATGGTGTACTCCAGCTGCTCCCTTGCGAGCAGCTCCTCCAGCTGCAGACTCTTCCGGATGTCAACCGACCGGTAGGAAAGCATGCTGGTGGGGGGGGGGGGAACATGCAGTGATGAGCTCTGAGGTACCTGGGGTCTAGACTCTCACAATCCAGAGAGAACATCACTCCATCCAACCAATGTAACATCTGGACGCCAGCCCTGACCAGCTGGAGGGCTTGGGCTGGTTATGTCACCTCTCTGTCTCTCTACCCTCATCTGTCACACGGGGAGAGTCATGAGACCTACCTTACTATGTGACGAAGTTCGCTAGTATCGGCAAGGTACTTGCAACACTGTAAGCGTTTGTGAAACAGAATGTCCAGGCTAGGCCCTGACCTACATTATCAGCTGCTTAAGACTCTGGAACTTTCCCTGTAGAAGGAAGGCTGCTCTTTCTACACTTTCTTCACATTCAGATCCAACTGGTGATGGTCAGTAGGCTTGGCTGTGGGTCATGCATCCAATCCCCCCCCGCCATTTCCCTCTCAATTTAACTCATTTGCCCCCTACATCTTCCTCATTCATGTTAGATGGGTGCAAAGCCAGGGTGGAACGTTCACTCCCATTTGGCCCTCGATACAATAGGCCCAGGCAGTGGCAAATGAAAGCAACACAGCTGACGTGCTGCACTGGGGCCCCTGGGCAATAAGGCACCTCATGCGTCCAGGCTGAGGGGCTCAGAGCCAAAGGCACAGCGCCTTCTGGTGCTACCTGGTGCAGCCGTGGTACCCAGGTTATTGCTCAGCCTCTGCCTACCCCGAGCTTCGAGCTCAGAACCCTCTCCATAGTCCAGATCACAGCCTGGAGGCGCCGGAGGGGCCCTCCCCGTGCAGGTGCAGCCCTGGTACAATGACCTACTCTTGTTTGCTAAGGTTCTTCCCACCGTGGGCGAAGAAAGCACGTTTGCTCTTCCTGTCTTCTCTGCCTCATCAAGAATCTCATCATTGTTGAACAGTTGTCATCATACCCAGGGCTAGAGGAAGAGGGAGGGGCAAAGGATGCCACCATCCACTTCGCCTGGGTCCATGTCATCAGACACACCAATGTGATCCAAAGAGGCTGCGTGTTAATTATTAGGGACAGTGATATGTCTATGCACCTGACTTTCAGCCTAAAAATATTTGTCACTAGGAGGGAAGACGGAGTGACATTCTGAGAGAGATGGCATCCTTTGCTGTTCATCGGTGTTTTCTGCCTCATCTTTTCCTGCCTTTTAGCTTTCGCCTAGGAAGAAGTGAAGAGAGGGAGGTAAAATCGATAACTTGAGAGAACTTCTCCCAGATCTTTCCTCTGTTCTGGTCTTTTTTCAAATTCCAGTCACAACGTATTTCTGCACGCCTGAATGCTCCTGAAATTTGTGACACAATACCCACCATTTTAACTTGCCAGGTCTTAGCAACATGATGAAAATAGTTACTGGTGGCAGAGGAGGGTTCTTGACTGCTTCTGGGGCATGGATCCTTTGGCAGTGCAGGTGATGGGACATTTCTTAGAACAAGGTTTTAAATGCATTAAAAATCTGCATTACAAAGGAAACCGGTTATATCGAAATACAGTTCTCAAATTATTTTCTTTGAAAAGGTGATGACGTGGTCACCTAAGTGCTTCTGTATTATTACATTAAATAATAACAGCTAGCTGAGGTCAAATGACTACTGTTACTCAGAACTGGTGAGCATAACGGATATTTTAAGATATCAGACACACAGTAATGTGTGTGAAAATGTCTGTGACCTCTACTGGTGACAAAGATACAGGTATATCATGCTGCATTTCAGTGATGGTGACAAAGATGATACAGTATATCAATCATGCTGCATTTCAGTGAGTGATTAGTGAAAATAAAGATGTAATTGTTTCCCTTTCCAAGGCCACGGACCTCTGAATTCTACCCATGGACTCCCGTTTAAGAAGCTCTTATGGGTTGCATTGTTTTCCCCTCAACAAAAGCTATGTTGGAGTCCTAACCTCCAGTACTTTGAAGTGTGATCTTATTTGGAAATAGGTCATTGCAGATGTAGTTAGTTAGGATGAGGTCATGCTGGAGTAGGGTGGGTCCTTAATCCAATATGACTGGAGTCCTTATAAAAGGGGACATCTGGACACAGACACAGACACACACACAGAGGGAGCACGCCTTGTGAAGATGAAGCAGAGATGAGGGTGATGCTTCCACAAGCCAAGAAACACCAACAATGGCCAGCAAGCCACCAGCAGCTGGGTGAGACCTGGATCAGATCCCCCCTCACAGCCTCAGAGGGAACCCAGCCTGCTGACACCTTGAATTCACCTCCAGCCTCCAGAGCCGGGAGACTAAACTTGCTGTTTAAACTGCTCAGTGTATGGTATTTTGCTAGAGCAATCCTAGTGAATAATACAGAAGCCTCTCAGAGAGCAGAAAGGACCAAGCCTCTGTGTGCCCCTTCGTCCCATCTGGGTTCTCATGAAATGGCTGGAAAATGGGGTTTGCCAACCAACCAGGGGCAACCGTCCCCGGGTGGGCCAGGCCGACTGTGGCCGGACCCGTGAGTGAGAAGGTCGGGGGCTGTAGCTCGCACTTGACCACAGCGGCCTGAGGAACAGAGCAGGTGCCCAGCCCTCCTGGACCGCTTCCTTCCTGCGGAATGAGGGGCGGCCCGGCTCCTGTCCCTGTGCAGCGGAGACGCAGGGCTGTAGACGGCGGTACCTGAGCACATCATGGAAGGTGACATCACCGCCGTTGTGCAGCCTCTCCATCTCATAGCACATGTGCTTGAACAGAAGCTTGTCCTTGTCCAGGTCCACCTCCAGCCTCCCCCGCAGAAGCCGCAGCAGGAACTTCACGCGGAAAGTCGGGATCACCCCCTGGTGACAGAGCACAGTCACTCGGAAACAGGCCACAATGATTCGCTTGGGGTTCTGTTTGCACAGCAAAGAAGCCCACAGCTAGCTCTCAAAAGCTAACATCATCGGCACCAGCACAAGGAAGCCTCTGGCCTCCCTGAGGCCGGGGGGCTCTGTGCACCCAGGAGAGCCAGGGATTAGGAGCCCAGCCCGTGGAGTTGCTGCTGGAGCATCTCTGGTTCTAGGGGGCGTCCCGCCGCCACGCGGGGGCAAGGAAGAGGCAGAGGGGACCCTCAGCCTCCCCCGGGCCCAGCTTCTATGCTCCCTCTTCTTCCTGTTGCCCCCTGCACTGCCTCAGCCGTGTTCACCTGTTTCTCTAACACACGTGCCAAGTGGGCCAGTAACGCATGGAGCGGAAAAAATGGGGCCGACACGTGTGTATGATCCTTCACTTAGTCCAGATGCTGGGGACTTCTAACCATGGGCTCAGAGCTACCCTTCTAGGGAAAGACCACTCCTTTCCGGGGCTTCTCTGTTGTTAGGACAATTACATCCAGCAGGACGGGGCTCCCAGATCTGCCCTCTTGCTGGTCGGAGCAGATGCAGATTCTGAGAACCTAACACATGTCACTCCGTTCAGGGCAACAAAACCTACGGTGCCAGCCTGGCTGTGACTTTGAGTTAAGGAGTTGGGTGAGAGGCAGGGATGTTGGTAGCCCGTGAATTCCTGTCCGTTACGAATGTCTACACGTGTGAGCGGTGGTGTCGCCTTCCGTGTGTGTCAATGGAAAGCAGGTTCCTTGCGGTGGCAGTTACGGAGACCTAAGTGGATCCAGGTGAGACAGAGACAGGGCCAGACACCTGCACACGCAGGTCACTGTCTCGGAAGAACCCCCCCACCCCAGGCCAGTGCCTGGGGGCCGCTAAGGAGAGAGGGAGCAAGCCCAGGGGCTGGAGAAAGTCCTGCATGGCAGTGCAGACCCCAGCTCTGGTCCAGGACCCTGTTTGCTCTGCCTCTGGCTCCCTGGTCTCTGTGTCTACAGTCGTATCTTCCAGAAACTCTTTTCAGATCTTCCCCCAGGTCTGCCCATGGCTGAACTTTCCTCATTTGTCAGGTGTTACGTCAAATGACACGTCCTCAGCCAGGCCTTCAAGACCACCCCGCTAAAGCATCTGCCCCCCACCTCCAACCACTCTGTCCGGTGCCACCACCTTCTTCAGAGTGCTTATAACTTCTTGAAATGGTAGTAATTATTACAATCATTATTGTTTGCCCACAATGGAACACAGGCTCTGTGAGCACGGGGACCTTGCCACCTCGTTCACTGTCACATCCCTGGTGCCTGGAACTGCGCCTGAAGCTTTGCTAGGAGGAGGGGGAGGGGGGCGAGGGGGAGGGGAAGTATCTGCTGCTCTGCCTAACTCTAGGCAACCTTGGGTGAGATGTTGAAAGCATTCAAATAATAAGTCCAAAATGATAACTTTCAGAAACCACTTAAATAACTCCTTTGCACTTCTAATCAGAATTGCTGTGTGAGAGCTGAGGTGATCATGAATCTGTATTATACTGTCGCCTTTGGTGATCTGAACTTCACCCCCCTCCCTGCCCTGAGCCCCAGCTGGTCTCTTCAGAGCTCCCTTGGTTTCCTTTCCTTGCCAACCTCCTGAATATCTGAAGGAGAGGACGTTTGTGGTTGGAAAGGACACGATGGGGAACTATTCTGTCCCTCTCCCTTCCTTGTACATTCTTCTAAATTGTCAATGACAGCTTTCTGCAATTCAGCAATGGCCTTTCCAAATTCAGTACATGTCCACTGAAAACAACAAAACCACTGAAATGTCTGCAGTACGGCAGTTGGGGTAGGGGTGAGGCATGAGACAATACCTCTCTTTTATCATCCACCATGTTCCATATGATTTGAAAGTGGCGAAGATCGTTGTAACTTAAAAGCTGGTCCTCCTCAGTGGAATAAAACAAGGAGAAATTCTCCACAATTATGGCTAAAAAAAAAAAAAAGAAAAATGGGGATGTTAGACAATTATGCTAATCTGTCATTTTTCAGAAAAAAGTACATCTATTATAAATAATGAATTTTATCACCTACATTATAAGCCAGATTATTAAAGGGCTTTTAGTATGGTTTCCAAGTTGGCATGTTTTACACTTGGACTGAGCTATTTATCCAGCTTCCACCTTTCCAAAACACGCATCCTGTGTCTAAAGATGCTCGTGCCAGCTGGCTTCAATTCTTAGTTGAGTTCCAGGGCAGCTTTTAAAGGTCAAGTTGAGTTCTGGATGGTCCCACATCTGGGGGGACAGTGTATATCTTTTGAAAAAATAAATGTGATATTTCAAGGCTGGAAAGGTAGCCTTCCCTGGTATTTGTCCAACTGAATCCATGAGAAGGGCTTTTGAAATTAATGATCATAAATAGAACAACTCTTGAAATTGCAATCAACTGTCATTTACATGCCTTTCAAAGGTCTTTTCAGCTTCTGGACCGAGGGGCAACAATTTATAATTAATGCCATAAAACACCCACCCCAAGCAATCCAGGATAATTACTTGGAAATTGTACATAATTATCTAATAACCTGAGTTTAAAGAGATTGAAAAATAATTCAATGAACATCACTTACCTACAAGCAGATTTAGCATGATGTAGGCAATGATGACATAAAATGAACAGAAATACATAAGTGCCCCAGCGTAATTCCCACAGTCTGTTGCCCAGTAGGTAAATTCATCTGGAGTACAAAAGGGGGGCTGGACCTGTGGGCCCGTGGCGGGGAAGGGGGGGGGACAGGGTGAGAGAAGAGAAGATTACAAATTTCTGTTAACTGACTGTAGTTGTGAACATATTCCTAACGATATAAAATATAAGTAACTTCAAAGTGATCTTTCAAAGGCCCATACATTGGGTACCTCATCTGTAGCAAAAATCAAAAAGAATATTTCATTTATACTATGCTTTTGGTCTTGTAGGGTCCCAAGTTCATTGCCATTTTAGAAGCACAATGAACACGAACTCCCTTCCTTCAAGAGACACTCTTTCTGCCACCTCCACTAGCCCCAAAGAGTAAGTAGTCACTGTGATGCAAAACGCAGAAAGTCAGAGAAAAAGGTGTTTAAAAAAAACTCTGACTTAAGTAATGGGTTAAGATTTAGGAAGATTTGCTACACACAGCAAATTCACATTCAAATTGTGTAAGGAAAAGCCAGTAATCCTCGTTCTTGGAGCATCGTTATGGAATATCATTAAATTGCACAAGATTCAGGTTATCAAAAGCCTCCCCATTCTTCACTGGCCCAGTAAAACTCCCAACACCTCTGAGAAACCTTCTGGTTTCTTTCAGTCAGAGAGACTAGCTCTTTCTTCTGCATTTCCATGGCATTCTGCTTGTTTTTATCTAGAATTTATTTAATTCTGCCTTGTATTATTTTTGATTTGGTGAATTCTGTCCCCACTCATTCATGCATATATTTCCTGAGCTCTTCCTATGTGCTAGGTTTATGCCCAGTGTTGGGGACAGGCTGGTGAGCAGGACCCAGACCCCTTCCCTCTGCCATGAAGCTGACAGTCTAGAACCCTGCAGTCCAACATGGTAGCGGCTAACTCCACGTGGCTATCTAAATCCAAATGCATGTTCATTAACATTCAATACAATTAAATACAGTTGAAAATTTGGTTCCTCAGTTGCACTAGTCACATTTCAGGTGCTCAATAACCACGCATAGGTGGTGGCCACGGAATTGCCATCTTTGCAGAAATTTCTTTTAACAGTTGGTCCGGAGGGTGAGAGGGAGCTGAAATAAACAAGCCGATAACTCACTGCAGTTGTGCTACACACTACAAAGGAGAAATACAGAACACTGGGAGGACACAGAACCAGCAACCTTAGCGTTGGGTAGGATTCCTGAGGGAACTGAGCTTTAAACTGAGACCTGAAGGATGATGAAGAATTAGGCTCTAGAAGTGAGGATAGCTGAGGGAGAGTATTGCTCAGAGCCCCCGACATAAACTCCTCGAGAATGCCTTGGAATCGCTGAAGACCGAGCACCTAGTACAGGGGCCAGTACAAACCAGGGCCTCAGTGAATATCTGTTGAATTAAGTCAAAGAAGTGGAACTCTCCTGTTTGTACTTGACTGCCAAAATGTCAAAGATGGGAGGGAAAGAACAATGCTCACATAATGCAGATTTGTTGAATGGAACTACAATAGCTCGACTTGGGTTCACTGGAAATTTTTCCTGTATGTCCATGTATTGTAATGTAAAAGAATGTAATTTTACGGACTAAAGGGCCAGGATATGTGTTTTGTACACAGTCTAGATGCTACAAGGATGGTGCTGCCTATATTGTATCACCAAAGAGTTTTATCTGCTTCTAAGTGAAGGCATCGCGAGCGATGAGGGGACGTTTACCATGCAGTCATGCATAATCTTGTTCCAATCTTCTCCTGTGACAATTCGGAACAGTACGGTAATAGCTTTGCCAGCTGAAGAAAAGTTTGCATGCCTAATTTAAGGGAAAAAAACCAGAATGTGAGTAATATGGTTTGTCATGTAAGGGTTGTCACCACCAAAACACGTGGATTTTAGAGCAAATGTGATTGCTAAGTTACCATTTCCAAAGGTTACACCCTCTTATTTGTTTCTTATTTATACTTGCCTCCAAGTATAGCTATCTCAATAGTCCAACCCTAGCATGGTGCCAGCAGTTTACTGCCATTCATCTTGAATGACTGAGAAAGCAAGCGTTGACAATTAGAAGTGATTCCTTCTTTTATGTGGATTATGCTATAAAAGATGGGGCCACCATATATCAAATAAGTGATCTCTGCAACAAGACACGTTTGTATTTAATTTTCTGTGTAAGGACTTAAAAAAAAAAACACTCAGAAATGGTTCCACAAAATTTAAGACAATCTTTGAAAAATGCTTTCCACATCTAACAATTTGGGGGTCCTAACTTCCCACGTTTTGCTTAAAAAAAACAAAGCCATCTCAAAATTGTTTAATTAAAAAAATAATGTATCATTTCTGGCAGTATGTGGATAAAAGAATTGCTGGAATTCACCAGGGTATGAGAAGTGGTTATTCCTGCATGGTGGTGGAATTATAGATTCTTTTTGTTTCCTTTTTTTTTTTTTTTTTTTTTTTTTTTTTGCGGTACGCGGGTCTCTTACTGCTGTGGCCTCTCCCGTCGCGGAGCACAGGCTCCGGACACGCAGGCTCAGCGGCCATGGCTCACGGGCCCACCCGCTCCGCAGCATGTGGTATCTTCCCAGACCGGGGCACGAACCCGTGTCCCCTGCATCGGCAGGCGGACTCTCAACCACTGCGCCACCAGGGGAGCCCCTGTTTTCTTTTATTTCTGAATTTTCTAATTTTCTAACAGTAAGCATGCATAGTTTCAATGAGAAAAATGTCATTTAAAATTTGGCCATTTTATTTTGTTTTAATTTCCAAATGATTGCTTCCCCCTCCCCATCTTTGTCTAAAACACATGCAGATATGTATCCATGATTTCATTACTAAAAACGTTTGCTTAATATTTGAATAGAAAGATAAATAGGGCTTCCCTGGTGGCACAGTGGTTGAGAGTCCGCCTGCCGATGCAGGGGACGCGGGTTTGTGCCCCGGTCCGGGAAGATCACACATGCCGCGGAGCGGCTAGGCCTGTGAGCCATGGCCGCTGAGCCTGTGCAGCCGGAGCCTGTGCTCCGCAACGGGAGAGGCCACAACAGTGAGAGGCCGCGTACCTCAAAAAAAAAAAAAAAAAAAAAAAGAAAGAAAGATAAATATATACCAACCTGTTAATGTTCTCTCCATATTTCACAGTACCAAATAAGACGACTCCAGCAAAAGCATAGCACAGCAGCAGCAGGAACATCCCCACTATGATAAAGAAGCTCTTATACATGCTGACGACCACTGTCAGCAGGAGCATCTTTAGTGTCACCTGTATGGAGGTGAGGGTGGGGGCAGGGATGCAGAAAGAGAAGGAGGGAGGGGACATTCATCTCATCAAGCCATGGTGAACCCGGGAAGTAAGTAACAGTTAAGCAGTCTGGCACAAAACTGATTCTCAAGGTTATCACTTGAAAGTTGCTTCCTATCTGGTATTAAATTTGAATTTTATTAAATACCATTAGACCTAAAGAAATTCTGCTCATATTTCAAACTTCAGCCTCTTTAGCCAAATTAATAAAAGTTCCACCACAATATTTTAAGCCTTCTATTTTTCTCTTCTCTTCCTCCCTCTTTATTATACAGGCTGTGCATTTTTGGCCAATAGCAAGCAGACCCAGGATTCTTCCACAAACAGACGATCATAAAAACAAAACTAAACAATGGTAAAATACCAAATAACCATCAAATATTTACCATACTGATTATGTGGATATATGGACCCTACATGAAATAAAGTTAGTAACAAAAAAGAAAACAGTGCTGTAAAAAATGAAAAATATATGTGGAATGTATTGAACATTAACAAAGAACATCAATAAATCTGGAATCATAGGATCATGAATATTTGTTAAAGATTATTCTTCTTTGCAGTAAAATTATTTATTAAAAATAAAAACAATAAAGAAGCATTAAGAAAGACCATTAGTCTTTGCTTTTGTGCCTGACATTTTATCTCTAGTTGATGATTGAGTTCACTCAGAAAATTAGAATAACTAAAATAACACAAATGTCAGGAAACGAATCACAAGACAATTAAGCTACCGATTCGTTTGATTATTTGCTCATTTTGACTTATGATGTCTAGGAATTTGTTAACTCCAGCCCTGGAGACCCAGAAGGGCAGCTAAAGTCAGTTAGTCATCACTCCTTTCTTCAGTGTACACGTGACCTATGACAGCATCTTCACAATGTACTTACATGCTTCCCGCAGATAGAGAAAAACCGGAAGACAATCACACACGCGCCCATCATGTAGGTGTACGCGTTCTGAAATTTAAACAGAGGAGAACCTCTTGCAATTTGCACGAAAAATCTTGTTACAGTTCCATTTTTCATTTTAAGTCTTCTGTGAAGTCTACTGAATAATGAGTTTAATAAAATGTGAAAATTCCTCTAAGAAATGTATCTTAAAAAGGTGCTGAAAAGGTCACTGCCAAAACTCATGAATAAATATTAGCTATAAAATCAAATCTTAAATGAAACTTTCGTCTCTGTTTTGCTCAGCTGAATTCTGTATTTTAAAACTTATTTTACACAAAATAGTGACCAGGTCCTTTGAGGAGCGAGAAAACCCTAGGATAACAATGCAAGTGAAGAAGTCGAGGGAGACAGGAGATAAAAGAATCCTGGCTTCCTTCTACAACCAGAGGGGGTGCTGGTGTTGGAAAAGATTGCCAGGGATCAGTTTCAGCTTCCTTCTCTCTGAAGGAAGCTGAAGCCGGCCACATGCACATTCGTCTGAGCTGATTTCAGAGAAGTCCTCCCTCTTGAATACACATCCAGCTCTTCCTTCAAGTGTGTGATTGGCAGCAAGAGATGACTTGGTAACATCTCTTGCATGGATACCAAGGGGGAAAGAGGGGTGGTAGGAGGAATTGGGAGATTGGGATTGATACATATACCCTATTGATACTATATGTAAAATAGATATCTAATGAGAATCTACTGTAGAGCACAGGGAACTCTACTTAATGCACTGTGGTAACCTAAATGGGAAGGAAATCCAAAAAAGAGGGGATATATGTATATGTATAGCTGATCCATTTTGCTGTGCAGTAGAAACTAACACAGTATTGTAAAGCAACTATACTCCAATAAAAATTAATTTAAAAAAAAAAGAGAAGACTCAGTGTGCTCTATGACTAAGAAAGCTTCATCTGAGAACAAAGACCCCACCGGCTACAGGTGCAGTAACGACAGTGGCATTAAGCTGATGCCAAGGCGTGATTATTCCCCGGGAGCCTTGCTTAGTCAAATGACAACAGTCACAGATGGCCCCCAGGAAGGGAAGATCCTTGGTGAGGTGCAAAGAAATGAATGTGTCTGCACAGAAGCATCTTTGGATGGGAACAAGGACTGCGTCTTCTTTCACAACAGTCCACTGCAAAATAGAGTGGAGAAGGAATGACCTTCCAGGACCACAGGTTCTTGGTGAAGAGCAGAAGCAGTCAGGCAGAGGCAAGCTGGCCTTTCGGGTATGTGATATCCTCTTTGGGGACACCCAGAATTAGAAAGTTTACTCATTCTCCTGTTTGGGCCGAATAGCTTTTGGCTACAATTTGTCTAGAAAAAGATACAGACACGGGCTTTGCTGCTCCTCTTTTCCATGTTAGCTCAGAGCCTATTGTAGATACCGTCTCTCTTTGCATTCTGGAAGGGATGACATCCCACAGCTTCTGAGATGATGACTTAATCCTTTACCTGGACTACAAGCTCCTGAGAGGTCTGACACCTCTTACCCAACCAGATCTTGTACCACGTTCCCCTCGCTCCTTCTACTCCACTCATACTATTCTCCCAAACCCTCCCATCATAGGGACAGCTGCCTGGAATGTTCTCCCCTCACCCTACAGACTGATCGCAATCATCACGCCCTCAGGGATGCCTTCCAGGATCTCTCTGATGAAGCCATCGTGCACTCTCCTGTGTCATCACAGGGACACGTGTTTCTCCATCTCCCTCACCATAGCTGTAATTCTCACTGACCTGGGGGCATTCGATGAATACCGATCTAACATTCCAGGCTGCGAGGTTCATGAGAGCAGTGACTGTCTTTGTTTTTGCCCATCACATTCTTCTCAATTGCTGGCATGGTGACGTGCAGCTTTTTAGTGCTCTGGATCCTTTGTCGTTTAAGGAAATGAACTGGGGTGACAACTGTTTTAAGGACACTCAGTATCTTCCTGAGCACAGGAATTTCATCCTAAAGCAAAGCCTTTGTGGTGTGTAAAGGGGTTCTCTGTGTTAGTGTAACTGAGCAGGACCCTATGGGGCCTTCCCGTAACAGAACCTCCTGCCCCCCCAGCCCATGTCCTCTGCCTGACTCCTGTCTGTAGAAAAACTTTAGCCAAAGAATAAATTTAATTGGAGAAGTGAGAAAATGCAGAAGCAAAGGAAAGCAGTCAAACAAGACAAAGTAATAATAGTTTAGCCATTAAACAAAGTCAAGGACCTTTAGTTCCTCCTCAAGGGCTATAAATAATATTCAGCTCACTGTATGACCAATTTCAAGATGATTGTCAGAGCTGACAGTGCTGTTCTGCACATAGCCCCCTCCCTCAACCTAGACAACCCTGAAACTCCCCTTTAAAAGCTCTCACCCCCTGGCTGGCAGTGGGGAGTTGGTTCTTTGGGACTTGAGTCCACCTTCTCCCCAGATTGCTGGCCTCCTGACTAAAGCAACCTTTCCTTTCCTACCGACACTTGTATCTCGAGTATTGGCTTTTATTTGGCACCTATGTGGCAGCCAACATGGGGCTGGAACCCATGAACCCATGACCTTGAGATTAAGAGTCTCATGCTTTACTGATTGAGCTAGCTGGGGTCAGTAACATTAGGGATTATTTTCCTGCATGACTCTGACACTGGAGAGGATGGGATACTGGACAGAAGAGCAGGGCAAAATAAGCCCACCCAATTACTTTTGGGTGGGATCAAGGAAGACTAAAGAAGAAAGAAAGTATTTATAATAATGTGTTATGGGGGGGGGGTGGGATGAACTGGGAGATTGGGATTGATATATATACACTAATATGTATAAAATAGATAACTAATAAGAACATGCTGTATATAAAAAAAAATGTTATAGGCTTGTATAATCTTTACAGTTAGAAGAAGTTCAGATACTTGACCTTCATAATGCGCATATGGACTAGGTAAATTATGAAAATATACTCCCAGTTCAGAGCAGGGAACAAAAGATCACTGAAGACAAATAACTTGATTGAAGTGCTGGATTAGGAACCAGGTCTTCTGGACCTGTGCTGTCCACCATGGCAGCCACACGTGGTCAGTGAGCATTTGAAATGTGGCCAGTCTAAATTAAGATGTGCTGTCAATGTGAAATAGGCACTCAAAGATTGAATACCAAAGAAAGGGTGTAGCCTCACTCCTTCATAATTTTTACATTTCTGACATATTGAAATGATAATATTTTGGAAATGGTAGGTTAAAAATGTATTATTAAATTAATGTCATCTCTTTCTTTTTTTATATCTTTTTTATATGTGGCTCCCAGAAAATTTAAAATAACATCCAGGCCACATTTTATTTCTATTGGACAACACAGCTCATGATCACAATCAAGTACACCTATGGTGTAGAGTCTGAGCTGAATGGAGGGTGGGGAGGCTGAATGCATTTTAGGCAGAACAATGAGAACTCAGGTGTTGAGATGGGGAATGATGGCTTTCGAGAAATGGCAGCCGGGTGTCTGGGAGAAAATAAGGCAGCAAAGTATCAGAGAATCATACCGTGAAGCCCTAATTATAATGTAGTGGCACGGAAGCTACACTTCCACTCAGAGAACTGGGTTCAGGTCCTCTGATTCTGGCTTGTGTGTGAATTTAGGCAGGTCTCTTCATCTCTCGGTTTCCATTTCTCTCTGTCTCTGTCTCTCTCTCTCTCTGTCTCTCGTTTTTTATCCTTTGAGAAAATGAGGGTTAAACCAGAGGATCTTGAAGGACCTTCTCTTTCTGGCTTGCAGGCTCTAGGACTCTGAGGGGTCAGCTTTTGTCTGTGTGAGGAGTGCGAGTGTGTGCACACGTACACATGTATATGTGTGTGTGTGTGTGTGTGTGTGTGTGTGTGCAAGCATGTCCAAGGGTCCGTCATGGTCAAGGCTGAATTTTAGGGAGGTTAACCTGACCCTTGAGAGTAGGCTGACCTGGAGTGAGATGAGACTGGAAACAGGGTTACCTGAACTGAAATTACCAACTAAAATAAACTTTAGTGATGTGCTTACCAGGAGGGCAAAGTGAAGTACCACCCAGACAACGCCGAGTGACGTCACCAGAAGATCGTACCTATTTCTTCTGCTTTGCCAGAAGCCGGCAGGTGACATCGCTATGATCTTCATTGTAACCTGGGGAAAAACAATGAAGACAATGAACTGAGGCTGAGTGTTCAGCATATATTTAAATGTACTAACCTGAGGCACATTACTTTTTTAAAGGATGTAGAAACCAAAGAGAAAAATTTATTACTGATGTGTCTGTGTATATATGTAAATCTATATTCTCCACACTCTTTTCTCCTTTTTCTACGACTAGTTCTGATAGCAAGACGTTTTTCTTCCTCAAGTAAAAGACCATAGATTTTGGGAAACATCAACCGGTACAGGGTAAAATAAAAATCTGCTTGCATTTCCAAGAAGATGGCACTGGAAAGCAATGTGACGTGGACCACATATTAAAATAATCTTGTCTGGGCCAACTCCCTCTGCCACCACATTGTAATTTGAGTCCCTGAATTACAGTGGTTTGTGCCGTTTGCTGTAAATATTTGAACTCACATAACTAGACAGGCCAACATTCAGATACAACGTCAACAGCAGTTAGTAATTCTTGCAGTTGGAAAAATGGAAATATAAAGTGAAGTCTTTGTTCAAGCGAAGCAGAACAGCCTGAAAAGGAAATATACTAAGAGCATTCTGTTCCCCAAAGAGGACTTCAAAAGCAACGGAACGCGGAGGTGAAAGGAAGTGCCATGGAAGAAGGACGCTGTTTTGCTTTAAAATGTGCACTGCAGCCCCCAGCACCAGTTGACTCATTACTGTACCTCTAGAACAAAGATGAACGTGAAAACGACCGACATGGTTGCCAAAGGAACAGTCACTGGGTCCTCGACGTCCCACTGTAAGAGAAACAGCACACACGTCTGTGCCTGCATTCCATCAACACGGAAAGACTTTCCCCTCTTCCACCCATCTGAACATGATTGTGAATTTAAATTTTTTATAAATGTAGACTGTGAGTGGACATGGCTGCCTGCAATGTTCTTGGACCCACCAATGAATAAAAAATTCATTCCCAGAGTGTTAGGGTGAAATAGAGTACCTTGACGGACAGCAACACCGACTGGGCCAGGACGAGTAATGCAATTGTCCTCTTAAAAAATGGATGCTGGGTTATGTCATACATCTTAGCTCTAAAACCATCATTATCTGAAAAGAAAGGTTTAGGCAAGGGCATTTTAGACATCGGTCACATTTACGTTCTTGCCTTTCATTTTCTTTAATGCTCGTCTTAAAACCCATTACATTTTTTTTTTCTCCTACAGTTCAATCTACTGTGAAGTGTCTTGCAGGAATGGCTGGGTCTGAATATTTAAAACAACGGTGCATGACACCGTCTGCACTGGAAGGAGATTCGCATCATTCAGTTTCTGTCAGTTTAATACATTTCACTCAGATGTTTAAAAGGCAAGCACAAATATATTTATTTAACAATTCATTTTTTCATTAAGGCTTATCCTGAGAGCACAGAAGCACGGCCTTTGGGTGGTTGATTTTAATAGCCTATGGAGAGATCTGTAGTTTGGAGCCTGTTTTTATATTAACTTCTGCACAATCGCCTAGTGGCCTCATGATGATTATTTTAATTGAAATCTTAGACTCCTGGGGAATCATGAACACTAGTGCCCAACATGAATAAAATCAGAGCATCTTTGATACCCGGGCGAGGTGGCAGATGAAGAGGCTGTGCTATCTTCAGGCGGCTCTTCAAATCTTCCCATCTTCTCTGATCTACAGTCAGCAGAGCCGTCCCCTTAATAAACAAAGGAAAACAGAGAAAGACCTTTTGTCATGTGCTCCACACCAAGGACATCGCAAATGCGCTGCTGACACAAACAAGATTAATGTGGGTTTAAAACAAAGATATTCTTCCTATACCATGGTGGTTCGATAAACAGGGTCAGAATTCTCAAACGTGGTCTTGAGAGAAGTTCCAGAAAAGAGGGCCGGGGGTTCAGAGAAGATTCAGCAGCCTTCAGTTGGCATCTTTGAACATGTATAATATTCAGGTTTGGGAAAATCTAAAGAAGGTTTTCTGTATGATTAGATTTTCTAAAAGAGATACTCTCTAACAGTGGTTAGTTTCCTTTCATAGTAGAAAAAGCTGCAGCAAAATGATAGCTTATCAGTGCTGCTGCTTCTGGTTAAGGCTATTGTGTCTTTTTAGAAATCATTCTGTTACATGCAATTGTGAAACTATTTTTAAGTGGTATGAGGTCAGAGAATTGCATATTTAAGAAATTTGTGCTGTGACAATCGGTTAAATGAGATCAGATATTCTTTGTTATATAATAGAGCACATCATTAAAATGCACTTGAATATATTACATTACATTTCATTACATTATATTACAAAGGCAGAAATATAATTTAAGAAACTGGGGAAGAAACCACCTCCCCTCTCCCATCCTGCCTTTCCTGACACAGAGCTAACTATCTTTCAGGGGAATGTCTTCCTCACTATGTTTTCAGACTTTGGCTGCTTATGTATATATAAATATACAAGAATGTGTTTGTTTTTAAATTTATAAATTTCTGTAATGGTATCCAACATGTGGGAATTTACGCAGTTTGTTTTTTACTATATATTTTTTTTTGGCTGCGCCCCACGTCTTGCAGGATTTTAGTTCCTCTACCGGGGATCAAACCCAGACCCCTGCAGTGGAAGCACAGAGTCCTAACCACTGGACCGCCAGGGAAGTCCCCAGTTTGTTTTTATCTTCATTGAAAATTACATTTTCCATACAACTAGATACTAGATCTGATTCGTTTATTTGAACTGATCACACAGTATCCCACTGTACAAATATATCAGAAGTTATCATTTTAGGTTTATGGACTATAAATAATGCTGCAGTAAACCCACGGGTACTGTCTCACGGTAAACATCTTGCTCTGTGGTAAATCTCTAGGAAAGGAACTGCTGGGGTCTCAGAGTTTACACATTTCCACACTTACCAGAGATTTCCAAGGTGCTATCCAAAGAGCAATAACCAAGAAAATTGGTTTCATTCTACAAGTGTTCCCATTTCCTTATATTCTTGCCAATACTTGACTTTATCAGACATTTTAATTTGGTCATTTGATGGGTGTGAAACGTATCTGATTTAGTTTTAATATTAATGAGACGAAACATTTTCAGTGCATATATAAGGTGATTCCTGTGTGTTCCTTTGTAAATTGCCTGTTCATATTCTTTGCTCATTTTTGTATTTGGATATTTACTTTTTGATGTTTTGTAGAGATTCTTAATATATTCTGGATACTAATATTTTGTCAGTTATGTGAGTTGTAAGTATTTAGTCTTAGCTTGCTTCTTTTTTTTTTAAATTTTGCTTAGTGTGTCTTTTATCATTCAGAAACTTTTCCTTTTAATGTAATCTGACTTATAAATTTTTTTCTTTATGGATTTCACTTTGTGGTTAATGTCAAGAACTCTACAACTACTCCAGGGTTAAAAGCACATTCTCCATGGTTTAAAAATGGTTTAAAATTTGCTTTTCATAGCTGGGTCTTTCATTCATCTGGAATTTATTCTTGAGTATGGTGTAAGGTAGAAATGTCAGTTTAATTTCTGAGACCTAGACAATCAATTAATTATCCCAGCACCACTATGGATGGTCTCAGCTTCTCCACTGACTTGTTGTGCTACTTCTGCTTCATATACACATGGGTCCCTCCTTGGGCTTTCTGTTCTATTCTGTAAGCCTAACTTTCTATCCCTGTAACAATTATGGCACTATTATACTTACCATAGCTTGTTTTTCCACATTTTTGTTCATGCTCACCCCCGTAAGAGTCTTATCAATCTAATTTATTTCAACAAACCAGTTTTTCTCACTCTTGAGCTTTTCTATAAGTTACTTTGTTTTCTATATCACTAATTTTCCATTCTTTTATCTTTGTTATTTTCTTCCTCCCATTTTCTTCTATTTCACTTTGTTGCTCTGATTATAATTTATTGATTTGTGTATTTGGCATGTTAATCATCACTATTTGATTATTCTCTAACATACAATTAAAAGCTATAAGTTTCCATCTAATTACTGATTTATCTATACCTTGTGAGTTTTAATGTGATTTTTATAAATGATTTATCTAAATGCTTTGTGATTTTCTATTCTGATTTCTTCTGTAACTCAAAAATTACTTAGAATGCAGTCTTAATATTTCCAAATTATGGGGAATTTTTTGCTATGTTTTAAAATTTTGATAGAGAACATGTTGTGTACATTATCAATTCTTTGGTAATTATTGTTTTATGACTTTGTAGATGATACATTTTGTACTTGATACATTTTGTACTTGAAAGTAATACACAGTCTCAAATTGTCAGAGACCTTTATATGTCCATTGGACCAAACGTCTTCATTGTGTCAAATCTAACATGTTCTTTTTGTTTTGATTTATGAGTTTCTTAGAGAAATACATTACTATCTATCTTTCATCGGATTTTGGATTTGCTAGCTTTTTAAAATAATTTGGTTAAATATTGCTTTGTGGGCTTCCCTGATGGCACAGTGGTTGAGAGTCTGCCTGCCGATGGAGGGGACACGGGTTCGTGCCCCAGTCCGGGAAGATCCCACATGCCGTGGAGCAGCTAGGCCTGTGAGCCATGGCTGCTGAGCCTGCGCGTCCGGAGCCTGTGCTCCGCAACGGGAGAGGCCACAGCAGGGAGAGGCCCGCGTACCGCAAAAAAAAAAGAAAAAAAAAAAAAATTCTGAGTTCACCTACTGAGTTACACAGAAGCAACCAATTTACACTTAGTGAAAGGCATATTACCTGCAATCAGTGCATCGGTTTCAGCTACTGTATTTTAATAACTTGCTGCACATCCTTTCAATTTGAACAATAGGAGATGCGTTTTTCAGTCCTCGGCAAATTAATGACACCATTACCAAAAGAGGAAATTTAGCAAGAGAATTGTGCTCTGAAATAATGTGCCTGAAAGGCAGCAATGAGGTAGCCTGTAAAATAGTTATAGAGATTATTTACACCGGTCACTTTACAGTTTAATGCGACTTCACGCCGTGTGTGGAAAAGGGAACTCAAAATGAGCGGCTAGGAAAGAATAAACGCTGCGGAATTCAAACCAAGAATTCTTACCTTGTTTTCATTGAAATTAGCAATAACTACTCCAACAAAAAGGGTCAGTCCAATCATGCAACCCAGGAATACGAAAACATGAATATAGATTCCATGCATCTGTATAAATGAAAAATACGGTTATTCATCAAAGCCAATGAAAGCAGCTGTGGTAACATTCAAAGGATTCCAGTGCGTGCTTACCGGACCCACACGATGAATAATAACATCCCTCACTTCCACCCAGCCTTTCAAGGAGAGAACTTCAAACAATGCCAGCATAGCATTGCCCACATTGTCAAAATTAAAGTTCCGAGGATTCGCCCTGCAAGTCAGAAAGAGGAATGTTCCGTGGAATTCCAGTGAGAAGCACCCTAAGGCAATATCTATAACTCTTTCCAATCTTGGTTGCAAAGTATAGGCACTTGGAAGGTAGGTTCGATGGCATTTGTTTGCGAACTCATAAGAATGCATCAATGTGTTAGAATTTATTAATTATGCAGTTAATTATTAGGCAATGATGGGGTGTTCTCAATCGAAAACAATAAAATGCTATGTCCCTCGACTTCTAGCTCCAGAGGTTCTGCAATGTTTCTGGCTGGTCCTGATTAGTATACTGAGGACTTTCTGGTTAGAACTTGTGCATGAGATTCTTACAAAGGGGCCTTGGAGTTTGGATGTGAATTTTGAAATGGTTTTACATTAGAAAACCTTCCTAAAGGCATGAATTACAAATCCTGGTGTTAGTACAGAAAGTGTAAAATGAGTAGAATTTGGCCACTTAATTCTGTGTCATCACGTGAGCAGCATGCTGTGACCTAGTGATGCTTTAGAGGCTCCTGAGGTGACACATACCCTATGTGTCTCCAGATCACCCCCTCCCAGGTGGGTGTTTTTCTCTCATTAACTCCAAATGTTCTCAACAGTTACTTCTTGTAGACCCCAGTGTATAGTGTGCTGTCTACCGCACAGTTAACTCCTGAGTTCTAAAACATTTTGGACCCTCTATTTTTGGGGGGTCAGGGGATGTCTCATTTCTTATTTTTCTGACATGTGTATACTTTTTTCTTTCCACTAACATCTTTCTACTACACTGCATCTCCCCTAGTCATTACAGGTCTTAGCTAACGTATTTGTTAACAGAAGAAGATTTCAGTTTTTTTTTTTTAATCCCCCTTTTCTGAGGCTATTTTAAATAACTAAAAGATTTAGACAACCACATGCTGGAAAAATCATGACTATCAACACATTTCCTGAATTTGATGACCTGAGCTCAGGATTATTGACTAAAGTAGGCCTACTGAAGCCTAGCTGAATTATATTTTGATAATTTTTTTTTCTTGCTAGCACATTTATCAAAAGTTAACCTTCACAGGAGGCAACATTCTAGGGGGAATCCAGTTTAGTATTCTTCTACCACCTTTTATGGTTTTCAAAACTAGAGACTATCATGAGATATACTTTTATAAGTTTTCTTTTTTTAACACTAAATATGTGGGAATCTAATAAGAAAACATAAAACTGAGACTGACTTATTTTTAAAGGTTTAAAGCTGATTGGTAGAAATGTTTTCTATATAGTAAAAAAGCCCCAGTCAGAAATTAATATTTAGGGATTCTGATTTATATTTTTTAAGTATGAAAGACAAGCATATTCTCTTGTATTTTTCCAACAATCTTTCCTTTTGGGGGTTTCAATTAAATTTAATATATTTTACAGCAGACAGACTCTGTAAGGATTCTACAGATGCCACAATTTTCTTGAATAAGGATTTTTTTTTAAACCAAGTGAGTCAGCTCTCAGATCTGATGTTGAACTTTCTTACCCATCCATTTTCTTTATGTAAAAGTGCTTTTTTTAGCTGAATTTGCAGCAACCCAAACTATTCTCATGTTCCACATCCTTTAGAGGTTAGAATATGTTAAAATACACTTTCAGGCTAAAGCCAGAAAAGTAAAATGAAGAATCATAGACTTAAACTGCTGGAAGAATATACCACATTAAAAGTCTCAGTTTTAATCATATTGGATATGTTTATGCTTTGTTCATGATACTAAAATTGGAAAGTCTGAAACTTTACCAATAACTACAGAGGACTTCAACAAATCCCAAACACAGTCCATTACTGTCATTTTTCCTGTTGTCCTCCCTTGATCTGGAAGGCTATTTAAATATTATCTTTTCTGGTTAATTTTTAAAAGATTACAACATTGTCTATCCAATTCAGAAAAATGAAGAATCAGTTCTGACCTCACAATCTGAGTTTTCTACCTCCCAGTGACAAGTGCTCCAGGGACCCCAGGTCATGATAAGGAGAGCTGCTTCTCCTCTGGGAAGATGGGGGTGCCATGGAGGAGAGGAATCTAGCCTCTGCCCTGGGATGTGGAAATGCAGGGGATAACATGGGCCAAAATGGTACCCTGTATCTTACACAGCTCTGCCATCTAAAGAAATCAGAAACTAGTACTTCCTGGAATGCAGACTGCTTTTTGCCTCGCTCTTTGGTAATAGCAATTTGAGTTTCCACAGCCTGCAACAATCTTACCTCTGCCTCGCCCCTCACTCCCACCTGCCCATGGCTCCTCCCCCTTTCACCTGCCTAATTCCTATTCACCCTTCAAGAGTTAACTGGGTGTCTTCTCCTCTAGGTCCTTCTCCCTGGTCCAGTCATTGTTTGGATTAGCAGCCTCTGTCCTGCGTGTACCACTGAACCCTTTGCCTCTCCGTACCCTAGAATCAGAGGCTGATACATCATGGAGCAAAAGAAACTTAAAGGTAAGCCTCAGGGCCCCTCCCTGACACAGGTCCCTTCCAAGACTCAGGAAAGGGCCCAGGAGTGAGTTCATATAGTCAAATGTTTCTGTTAAACTTAAAAAAGCAAAGTAGTTTTATATCCTTTTTCTTAGAGAGTGTACCCAAATTGTTTGAGCCTTAGACTCAACAAAAAAAATCTGATCTCTTTCTGCCTAGAATGTATCGCAGTGTAATTTGAAATTACCTAGAGGTAAGCTTCTGGTGAGCTTCAAGTGAGCTTAGGGGCTTATTTATGTAGCATTAAAACTTCAGCATATTGTATTAAATTATTTTAAATTTTATTTTCTGTTCTCCATTGGACTTCTAGCTCTTAGGGGTCAGAGGCCATAGCTTGTTCCCAGTGACAGCATAATTCCTGGTGAAGAGTAAACACTTAGTAAATATATTTATTGTAAAACTGAATACTTTGTTGATTTCTCTCCCTTGCATTTCCTTTTCCTAAATCCCAGACCTCTGCTTAAGACAAAACACACAATATTTATAATATATGATATGTTTAATCCTTTTTACCAAGGTAATTTTTATCTCATCAAGTCTGAGTAATTTGGAGGAAAATGAATGTATTCATCTGAAGAGAGAATATAGAAGCCAGACTGTCCCCTGAATTAGCTAGTGCATATTTATGTCCTAATTATAATTATCATAGCATTCCTCTAGGCTAATTCCCAGATATAAGTTATTTTCTTAATCATAAATTAGTCAATATAAAATTACAAAAATTTCAGCTGCTAACTCTTGACGAGATTATTAGAGAAACAAAATGTGAAAATTATCATGGTTACAGTTGACATTTATTTGATGAAAGATTTATATTTCCCTAAAACTAACCCAAGTCACAATATTCTGAACAAATGGGAAAAGCTATTGTGATAACGTTCAAGTGATGTCCCTCTGTTTGCTTGTGCTTTTAAAATGTCATTGAACTTGAAGTCCTTAATAGCTTACATAAAACATTACATTTCAGTTAGCTGATTTAAAAATCTTAAGAGAGCTGGTTTTATGGAACAGGTTGAACGCCATAGGGTCCAACCGGAAACAGCTTACTCTCCTCCTAATGCTACCTTCCAGTGCATCCTACTTGCTTCCTGACACCTTGGGGAGAGCCCAGAGCTTTTCGGTATATAGCCAGCCTCATTCTAAAATGCCCACTGCATTCAAACCTGTACCAGGGTCTCACCCTCCACAGCTCAAGCCTGACCCGTGGTCTGAGGAGGGAAAAAGAGTGTCAGCCACTCTAGCCCACTCCTCCTCTTGGTGACTGCCTGGGTCTTACAAGAAGCGGTGGGATGCAGCTGGGGTTAGAGACGTCACATCTTGTGTGTCTGACTCCGCTGGACTGTGGCCATTGACGCTCTCTTCACAGCAGTTCCTTCACACAGTTCCTTCACGGAGCTCATTTAGGTGTTCCCAAGAAACACTCCATGTTTGAACAGCGTTTCTAGCTTCTATGAACTTGGCACTTGAGCATTTGTCCCACATACAGACGCTGGACGCACTTTGTTCCAGACACCCGGTAAGATGCCTGAGTCACCCTTCCTGGCCTCGTGCCTCCCTCGTCCTCCCCCCGACCTTGAGATGAGCCCTTTTCAGGGTGTGCTTTTCAAATACAAACCAACTAACCCAGAGTCCACCCCCCCCCACCACCACCAATCACCTCCTCTATCAGGCTGTCACACTCTGGGCCACCATCCACCTGCCCGAATCACCCCAGTGCCAGGTACCAGACCACAATGGATGGCCTCTATGCTCTACAGCCCATTACAATTATTCAAACTAGCCATCCCTAAGTCCGCTTGCCCTGCCTCACCCGTTCCTTCCCAGGGAAACCACAGTAAAGGCTCTTGGCCCCAGCTCTCCCCACCTTTCTGCCTGCTGACCCACCCTGGTGCTTCCCCAGGTGGCCCCCCGTGGAGTGGCATGCCCCCTCCTCTTGGGAACGATGAGTAACAAACTCTTTTCAGTGGTAGTGCTCTCGATCTGTCGGCCTTACTGTACCTCACATTTTCTATGACTACACTCCCCAGCATGAGGATGCCCCAGTGTGCTCTTCCTGCTATGAGTGTAGCCTCTGGGTGATTCTCAGCTCCAACTCCTGGAAACGTTCCCACAGCTTCTTCCCATAGGGCACCCTGTCCCCAGCACACAGCCCTTTGCAGCAGGGTTCCAACAAGAAGGCTCAGGTCAGGTGGCCCTTGGCAGGGATGACGTGGCCCTCCAGAAGCAGATCATCCCGTCTTCCCAGATGGTGACGAGCGGCTTGCCCACAAGAGCCTCTCTTCTTGCCTTGTCAAACTCTGATATCAACTGGTCCTTCCAGGGGTCCTCGTAGGAAGAGGAGAAGCGCCATCCACCTTTCCCCATAGGGAAGGCGGCGTGACGCCATAGCACACTTTGCTCTTGACTTCATTCACTACCATGATGTTATCTTTGAATGCAGTGTTTTCTTTTACAGGAGCTGGGTGATGGATGATGTTTTAGTAAGTTCTGATGGGATTGGTTTAGTTGGCCTCTTTAGAATGTCAAGATACTTTAATCTCCCCTTGACCTCAACTTTGAGACTTTAGACAAAATTCCAAAAAATTTTGGAAAAAAAACCTGATGTCCTGATATAAGTAAATTATTTACGGTATAATAATGAGTTTTACTCTCACAACAAAATAAACATTTTATGCTTCTTTAATTTTTCATTGTAATGTAAATTAGACTGCTTTTCTAGTTAACACTGGGATAAAGATATTCCCATGTGTTATATACTTCTCTACCCATGCTCAAGCCTCACATCCAAAATTAATCTTTTTTCCACAGTTCTTTGGTATTAAAAGAAAACCAATATAAATTATATTGAATTGTTTATGAAAGTGAATTTCATATTAGAGAAATGCCAAAGCAGGTAAGAACGAGTCCTAAGGGTACAACTGGGTGAAATGCTATTCCTTTTAAAGAGTTTTGACATTTAGTAGAGAACATCAATTGTGACAAAAGCAGAGCAGTTTCTGTGGTTCACTCATTATTCTAAGAGGTAAAAATGAAATAAAAAGAAACATTAACGATTTAAAAGGACAAATGAAGTTGATGGAACACTCTGTGCATCAGTGAAGCAGACTGAGAGATTTCATTCATAGTCATTAGGGAAATGGTTGAGAAAGAAGGTACCAGATACTTCTGGCTTTGATGTAAATGCTTTGAAAACTTATTTAAAAAAAATTGTTTTAAAGAGGCAGTTAGATAAAATCAATGTGTTACTGATTATTCCCTTCCAGGATTTCAACAACAAAATCCTTCAATGTAAATGGGTTTTAAAATTGAAATAGTTTTATGATCTAGGCTTCTCTAAAATTGTTATGAGGACATCAGATCTTCCTTAAAGATATAAAGTCAGTATGAGTTTAGTTTTAATTTGATTAAAATTGTTAAAATTGTTAAAAATTGGTTTAAAAGTTGAATTAAGATTTGATTAAAAATTGATAGAAAATCTTTTTTCTTTTAAGCCTCACTAATTTTCTAAAAAATTTTTATTTATTTTTATTGAAGTATAGTTAAGTTACAACGTTGTGTTAGTTTCAGGTATACAGCAAAGTGCTTCAGCTATATATATATACACACACACACACACATATACATGCTTCAGTTATATATACATATATATATACACAGATATACATACATATGTATATGTATATATAAAAATTTTTTATATTTATATAAATTTATATATATATAAATTTTATATATATATAAATTCTTTTTCAGATTCTTTTCCATTATGGTTTATTACAGGATATTGAATGTAGTTTTCTGTGCTGTACAGTAGGATTTTATTTTTTATCTATTTTATATGTAGTAGTTTGTATCTGCTAATCCCATACTCCTAATTTATCCCCCCCATCCCCTTTCCCCTTTGGTAACCATAAGTTTGTTTTCTATATCTGTGAGCCTCTTCCTGATTTTTAAGTAAGTTCATTTGTATCAATTTTTTTTTAGATTCCACATATAAGCAATATATGATATTTGTCTTTGTCTGACTTACTTCACTTAGTATGATAATCTCTAGGTCCATTCATGTTGCTGCAAATGGCATTATTTCACTCTTTTTTTATAAGCCTCACTAATTTTTAAAGCTATGTGAGTCCAGATATATACTTTAAACTATTAGAAAAATACTGCAGTGATATTTCATTAGTTTCATGAAGCAACACTGGGACTCAGTGTACCGCTTCCTTATTTTATTTCTTTTGTTTTTGCATCCTATTGTAATTCAGTGCTTTGCCTTGCTAGCAGAACTACTTTTAGTTTCATGCCATATTATACTGCTTTAAAACCTTATACTATATATACTTATATAGAACATGGATGGACCATGAAGGCCCATTATGCTAAGTGAATAAGTCAGACAAAGACAAATACTGTATAATCTCACTTGTGTGTGTAATCTAAAAAAACAAAACAAAACAAAAACAAAAGCAAAACCCCTCCGACTAAACTCATAGAAAAAGAGATCAGATTTGTGTTTACCAGAGGTGGGGGGAGGAGAGGAAGTGGAGAAAGGTGGTCAAAGGTACAAACTTCCAGTTATAAGACAAATAAATACTAGGGATGTAATGTACAACATAGGGACTATAGTTAACACTGCTGTGTGATACACAGGAAAGCTGTTAAGAGAACAGTAAGAGTTCTCATCATGAGGAGAATTTTTTTTCTTTTCTTTCAACTGGATCTATATGAGGTGACGGATGTTAACTAAACCTATTGTGATAATCATTTTACAATATATGTAAATTGAACCATCATGCTGTTTGCCTTAAACTTATTCCGTGATGTATGGCAATTATTTCTCAATAAAACTGGGGAAAAACCCCTTATACTGACAAATATAGCATTTTTCAGGATATTTTTCTGATATGCTTACCAAACACGGGGCACCCAAAATCCAGGTTTTTTCTCTCCAGGTCTTAATTTTAAATTCAAGTTCTTGGACACACTTACATTAATTCTGAATATTCCATTACAATCTTCCTAAAACAGGAAAAAAAAAATAAAAGGAGGAGGAAAAGAACCTGGTCAGAAAATGAAGTCAGAAAAGATAAACAATAAGAAACATTTTTTACGTAGAATGACAGAGGTCTTTTATATAACAGCAGACATGTGCATAGCTACTCAGCAAATAGTAACAAAGACTTCAGAGATAAGCAGGTGAAAGTTGATGCTGAAAATGTTAGTGAGTGGGCAAAGGATATGAACTGACATTCCTCCAAGGGAGAGATACAAATAGCCAATGAGCACGTGAAAAGGTGCTCAGAATCATTAGTCATCAGGGAAATGCAAGTCAAAACCACAATGGGATACCATTTCCCACTCACTAAGAAGGCTCTCGTCAAGAAGTCAAATAGCAAACTTTGACGAGGATGTGCACAAATCTTAATCCTCATACTAGAATCCTCATACACTGCTAGTGGGAATGGAAAATGGCGCAGCCACTTTGGAAAATAGGGTGGCAGGTCCTTAAATAATTAGAGTTACCACAGGACACGGCAATTCTTCTCCTAGGTATCTACCCAAGAGAAATGAAACATATATTCACATGGAAATATGTACATGAATGTTTATATCATTATTATTATAAATAGCATTATTTACAATAGCTCAAAGGTGGAAACAATTCAAATGCCCATCAATCAACAAATACACAAACAAAATGTGGTCTATCCATACTGTGGAATATTATTCAGCCATAAAAATAATGAAGTACTGACACATGCTACAACATGGATGAACCTTGAAGATATTATGCTAAGTGAAAAAGCCATCCATCCAACACCACATATTATACGATTCCATCTGGAGACATGGCACCAACAACTGAAGCTTCATGGCCTTTAAATGTGAGCTGTACCAAATGTTGGGGTATCTAGTTTCCCCTTTTCCTTGGGTTTGTCTCTTCTTTTATAAAGGTAAACTGAAGTATCCCCTTCATCCACATGACACGCTTGGCTTTGGCCTCTTATGTTAGGACTAGAAAAGAATCCGTCCAAATACAAAGACACGGGCCACTTCTCACTATGCCAATTTGTTTTGCAATTATTCTGCTTGTTCCTGATGCTCTTTTGATGGCTAAGTTTTCTTAGACTTTCCTTACGAGCTTCCCACACAGACCTCATTGTTCTGTGGAAAAGAATAAATGCCTCATGGCATCTGTATGTCTGTCCGTCCACCGTGTGCCCTCCGTCCCCTATACAAGTCATTACTCTTTAGCTTGGGCTGGGTATGAGCAGATAGATAGTGTAAAATCACAAGGCTCTTAGGCCATTATTACCCCCCCGAGTCATCCACTATTCCTACGAGGCTTCATCTTGAAACGTTGTTGTTATCTTTCTGGCCTCTGTTCAGGGTGGACCTAAAATAACCCTTCTTTCCTTACATAAGCTTGTGGACTAATGCCTCAGCTCATTATTACTGCCTTCATTTAGCTCATTAGGTACAGCATGACCTTTATACCATGTTCCCTGCATGTCTTGTCAGGTTTATCAAAATTCCTGGAACCTCTGGGAAGGGGAGTTAAAGGAAGCAGCCACCCGGGCGATACCTTGATAGCGTAAGGTCTGCCCATCCTAAGTTTGTCTCTTCTGCTCTGCCTCTTCCTGAAAAATCTCATTATTAACATGACTGATAATGTATTTTGACTGGACAAAGATGTTACCTATATTTTCTAAAAAGTCAAGAGCTACTAAGGGGGACCTTTATAATTAGAAGCCTCAAAATGTAGAAATGTCATAGTAGTATAAAATTTATATTAGACAGCGATGTTTGCTAGAAATATGGGAATAAGTGTTTTAGTTCAGCTCTGGTAGCCCTTTTGGAAACATCCATTTTAATGAGACTTAAGCATTATTTTACCTGGGTGGAAGAGGAAATACTCTTGCTAGCTTATACATCAGCAGAACTGGGTTCACTCCATTAACCTACTTGTAATATCGGGCAGGATTCTAAGAGAATGGGACAGTGGGCGATGCAGCAGAGATTGGCTAATTATTAAACAAACCCCGCCCCCTTTGCTACAAAATACACCACGAAACTACACATCACGGTCTCACGTCAGTCTGGTGAGGCCACGCTCTTGCCAGTGGAATGTGGGATGAAGACAGATGTGTTGCTTCTAGGCTCTGCCTGTAGTCCTCTGAGAGAGAGATGGTTTTCTGTTCCTAACTGCCAGCTAAACAGAGAAGACTCTGAAGACAGCAAAGGCTAGGGACACAGGACAGAGGAGGCATGAGCCACTGGGTGGTCATTTGGAGGAGAGCTGCCTGAATTATTCAACATGCAATAAATATATTCATTTCATTACGTTCAGCTACTGACATATTGGGGCTGTTCCAGAAGCTACCCTCCTCTTATAACACCGGCCAAAGAAAGAGAAAGAAAAGAGTAGAGGGACTTCCCTGGCCGTCCAGTGGTTAGGACTTGGCACTTTCACTTCCGGGGCCTGGGTTCAATCCCCGGTCTGGGAACTAAGATCCCACAAGCCATGCAGTGCGGCCAAAAAAAAAAAAAGAATCGAAAGTATTCAAGCATGGTTCAAGCTTGAATCTTAGTTGTCTTCATGGGGGAGATTCTGGGCAGCTAAGAGCTAATGCAAGGCCCTGACTTCCTAACAGAGGAATGTGGAGTGGATAAGTCATACGAAGGGGTGTGGAAGTCAAACTCTGCCCTTTGTATTTTGGGGGAGCTGTTTGCTGATATGAGTCTCAGGTCACAGCAAAGGCAGGATTACGTTAGGGAAGACCTAAAGGGAAAGTTTGCACATGGAATCTTGGGTGACTATATGGAAGATGTCAACAGTGGCTTGACCTTGGAATAGGAGGGAGGAACAGGACTGTCTGAGATGTGTTTTAATCTTATAAACCTTTACCAGCCAGAAGAGACACACTGCCTGCTTTAAGCAGAGGGAGTCCATGGGAAGAGTATTCTTAGAGTTCTGTTCTCAAAGCAGCCTCAGCAGATGGCTACCCAGGGATGGTAAATGTTCTTGATTTTCATCCCAAAAGACAAAGGATATCTTACCCTTCTAATAATGTTGGGATCATTGCACTTGGCCAGTTTTCCAGCAAAGAGTTGAACTCCAAAGCTTGCAAAAACAAGCATTAATGTCAGCAAAAGAATGGAGACCTGAAAGAAATGGGTGAGAAAGCAATCTCTTGGTAAAAAATTATAAACAGTAGGTTTGGTTTGAGCAGTGATTATGAACAGGACTTTTAAGATAACATCGTATGAAATTCACAGTCTTTGGATGCTACCTTTTAACTTCTCCCCCGCAGGTCATTCAATTAGCCTAGCTGGAATGTTAAAAGAAGGAAATTAACAACAGGTTTTGAATTTTTTTTTTTTTTTTTTTTTTTTTTTTTTTGCGGTACGCGGGCCTCTCTCACTGTTGTGGCCTCTCCTGTTGCAGAGCACAGGCTCCGGACGTGCAGGCTCAGCGGCCATGGCTCACGGGCCCAGCCGCTCCACGACATGTGGGATCCTCCCGGACCGGGGCATGAACCTGTGTCCCCTGCATCGGCAGGCAGACTCTCAACCACTGCGCCACCAGGGAAGCCCGGGCTAAGGTGTTTTTGACATGACTTGGACTTTTCTGATTTTGAAATCAACACTTTGCTTTATTTTATTTAATGGAACAAAAGAAAAATGTTGAAATAATTCTCTTTCCCAAATTTTCTCAAAATGGATTCATGTGTCTGTTAGCAGAGCCTACGTAAGGGGGATAGTGGCTTTGCTTTCTTGCAAGCATGAGGGCTCAGGGCGTATCAAAGTGCCACACACAGAGGGTGTGAGATCAGAGCCTTGAGAAGCAAATCTGGTAATTGCCTTGTACTCCCTCTGCTGGATGACTATTTTGGTCTCAGCAGAGAAAAGTGGCCAAAATACTGAACAAACGATTGATCTCTACTGGTTGAATAATCTAAACATATCTTTTAAAGATACTAAAATTACATAGAAACATCCTCTGAAGCAAGGCTCAAATAAATCATCTTCTGAATTCTATCAGGGCTCAAAGATGCATACACATTCATTGTCAGGTGCTATTCTGTTTTCCCTCAATTCCAGCTGTGGGAAAAGCCACAGTGTTATGGCTTCAGTGCAAAAAAAATATGGAATTTTATAAATTTATTTATTTTTGGCTGCATTGGGTCTTTGCTGCTGTGCATGGGCTTTCTCTAGTTGCGGCGAGCGGGGGCTACTCTTCATTGTGGTGTGCAGGCTTCTCATTGCGGTGTCTTCTCTTGTTGCGGAGCATGGGCTCTAGGCACGTGGGCTTCATTAGTTGTGGCACACGGGCTCAGTAGTTGTGGCTTGCGGGCTCTAGAGCACAGGCTCAGTAGTTGTGGCACATGGGCTTAGCTGCTCTGTGGCATGTGGGATCTTCCTGGACCAGGGCTCGAACCCGTGTCCCCTGTGTTGGCAGGCGGATTCTTAACCACTGTGCCACCAGGGAAGTCCCCAAAATATGGAATTTTAAACAGAGCTTTAACAAAGTATTAGCAGGATACTAACACAACATTGTAAATCAACTATACTTCAATAAAATAAAAATTTTAAAAAGTATTAGCAGCTATATGCCTATAGTAACATAACAGCCTGTCTTTAAAACACCTTAGAATCAACTGCAACTATAGCTATCTTTTCACTATAGGTGTGTTTCTAGACAGCAAGATATAAAACTAGCTTAGTAAGTTAATTCATGTTTTCCATGCACAAGCAGAACTCATTAATAATAAAAAGAATCCTGTGATCACTCCTTTGTTATAAGCCAAAGATTCTTCTTTAACGGACTGTGAGCAAAGAGCCTCTTACTCATTGTTTTATCTGCAGCCCTGCTCTTAGAAGACCCTAAATCAATATTTGCCCAACTAAAAAGTATATTTTCTCCTCAATCATATTTCTAAATGTTCATTACTGTATACTGAGGTAGGTTATACCTGTATGTTACAGTTTTGAAGAGTTGTTTTATGTTAACACTCCAAAGATCAAAGCCAAATTTTGTTCTATATGAATTTGGGAACATAGAAAATGAGATTACAAGCCTAAATGGGTTAATTCCTAATATTGTTTGTGAATTCGATGGTGTTGAAACGTCTTCTTAATTTCCAGATGGGGCAACTAAAACCCAGAGTATAAATTAGGGTCAAGAGTTAGGAATGGAAGTGTCAGAAAATTCTCTCTCTTTGGATTCTCCTTCCACTGTACTTTCCAGAAGGCTTCCCTTTAATTTACTAAAAATATTTGTTGAATTAAATATACCAATAAGCCAGAAGCATCCATGGGTGAAGTCTTTGAATCTGTGTTGTGTTTTGCTAGTACCTTTACAATCTTCTGGCAATAAACAAAATGGTACACTTAACCTTGACAAGCGAGGCTCACTTTATCCCCTCATTTGCTACATTAAGAGCTCTACTCTGTGAACCAGGAGTAAAGGGTGGTGACTGTAATGTACCAGAAAAATTTCCTTGAAGCCGCTGAAAAGTTCCCGAACGACTTTCCTCATCTGAGGCACCAGCTTGAATATCCGCAGAGGTCGCAGGCAGCGGAGAACAAGTAAGAGCTGAGCTCCCGACTCCGCAGGCACGTTTTGAGGCATCCAACAAAGAAATATCAAGCTCACCTAGAGGGAAAAAATAATCTCTAGAATTTATGCAATTTATCCTCTGCTATCTACATTTTCTGTGAGCCAGCTGGCCACAAGTTTCCTTTAGCAAAGACTCCACATGTTATGTGGGGCAAGCATTCGCTGGGTGTACATGCAACTCATCTCTATGGACTTGATCCAGACCTGTGAGCAGCCCCAAAGGAAGTCATCAGGTGTTTGCAGGGGGTGTGAAATGGGGGTGCCCACACCGTGGGTGTGGGTACTCCAGTGCCTCCTGCCCCTTCTTTTAACATATATACTGGAGGCTCCGCAGAAGTCAGCAGGATTGAAATTCCTTTGATCAAGGATACTAAACCTCACACTGGACTGAATACTCGCTATTTTGTTAATGATCTGAACATGCTACATGTTAATGGTCACAATTCTCCTTGTTGTGTTGGAAAAGACACTGATTTTATGCCTTCTTGGACATATAGAAAGAAATTTCTTTGAGTCCCTTCCTATGGTTTCCCCGTTTAGTTTAAATAGATAGTTGAATGGTTGCCTTCTCTGGCCTGGTATTTTGTGTGTTGGAATTGGCATACTCTCTCTAGTTTGCTTTTAGTGATAAGCGGCTCATTGATCACTTATATAGTTTTTGTTTGTTTGTTTGTTTTTAGTGTAGGTGCCACAAGAATTGTGGTGTGCAAACTAGATTTGCTACCTTAGACCTCATTAATGTATGTCTTATGCATACAGGAATGTGGTTGATGTATTTGAACCATATCCACGAATATTTTTAATGCTTTTTATTTAGATTCTACATGCATGCCCTTTACTTGCCTATACTAAACTACTGCTCTCCTTAGGAACTCAGTTAATGGCACCTAAACCTCTGTGACTCACGTATCTCACTCTTGTACCAAGAAATGCAGGAGATTTTACAAAACCATTATATTTTATATTCAGGAAATAACTGAAGACTTACAAGATATATAAATATGTCCATGACTCCACCGAAGTCCCTGATGACAGCAGTTGGAGTGAAAAATAAGCCATCTGCCATAATCTTCAGATTAAGCTCAATGCTCATGAATATCACAAACACATACTCGGCAATCTGAAATGGGCAGAAGGCAGGTTGGTCACAATGAATGCAAAAATTGCAGGTCAGCGTTTCTCCGCTTAGCTGTGAGTTGAGATTCGGCAGAGTACCTGCAAAGTGGGTGCGTGCATGACTCTCCGGAAGGGGGATTCGAACATCATGGAAATGCAGGAGCAAATGGTTACGATAATCATGACCCAGTCCAGGTAAGTCACCAATCCCAGCAAATCACTGCCAAAGACCAGACAAAACTGAGAAACGCAAACACTCTAGGAAAGCTTGCTGAAAGTCAGAGACGATGCATCTGTGATTCTATAAACGTGACTGGCATTGTTTAAATGAATGGCCAATCGTCTATTTCACAGCACAATATAACAAGAAAATAAAGGGAATTTTTATATTTTTATGCGGCATAAAATAGTACATGGAAACTTCAGATGTGCATGGAAACAGAGTTTGTAATGCTTACTAAAGTTGATGGTACTTGGTATTTTTCACAGCTCCCGTGACCGGATCTGTTTTAGATCTGTAAGAGAGAACAAACATATAAACTCTGTGACACAGTATGCGTGTTATAACTCGGCACCATAGTACGTATAAACATCTCATCTACCTAAAATTTCTCTCACATCCTCTACAAAATGTCTGTTATGATATATGTTAACTGTATATGACTTTGGAAGGCAGAGAACATTAGATGAAAGAAGCAACTGATGCTTAGGAAAGCAAAGTTTACATTTTTCAAAATGCCTGATTTTAGAATTCATGACGCCATTCAACAATTTCTGACAAAGATATTACAAAATTAAATTTCGACTTCCATTTAAAAACATTCAAAGTCTTTGCCTTAGCAGTTTGGCGCTGTTCCTCATAATTATTTAATTAAATATCCATAAATTAAATAGAATTCTTCGCTCTGTATTTAATCGTGATCGTGTGGAGTAATTTATACAGAATTTCTTGGGGTGGGGATTTATAACTTTTACTTTCAGGAAGCCCATGACCAGTCTTCAAGAATTAACAATTAGATGTAAACATGGAGACAGCCAATGGGATAATTTCAGATGAAAAACCCAATTTGGGAACTGATCAAATCAACTCTACACTGCCAGCTTCTTCCTATTGATGCTTTGTGAAAACTCAGGGTTTAAATCATTATCACTCAGGTGCTTTAAACTGCAAAGGTCTTTCTAGAATAGCAGAAAGAACAGTAGACTGGCAGTCAGAGAGGGCCCTAGCTGGCATACTTGAGCAAAGCCCTTACCCTCGGCTGACCTAAATGCCCTCCTCTGTTGGAGAAGAGGGAACACAAATGACCCCAAATGGCTCCTGAGGTCTCCTCCAGCCCTGAGGGGTTAGGAGAATGTATTAGTTTCCTAGGGCTGCTGTAACAAAGGACTGCAGGCTGAGGGGCTTAAATAACAGAAACTTATTTTCTCCCAGTTCTGGAGGTGGACGTCTGAGTTGAAGGTGGCAGTAGGGTTGGCACCTCCTGAGGCTGTGAGGGAAGGATCTGCTCCAGGCCTCTCTCCTTGGTTTGTAGACGGCCGTCTTCACATTGTCCCTCCTTATAGCAGTCTGTGTCCAAGTTTCCTCATCTTATAAGGACACCAGTCATATAGGATTAGGGTGCACCTGAATGACCTCATTTTAATTTAATTACCTCTTTAAAGTCCTTATCTCCAAGTAAGGTCACATTCTAAGGGGCTGGGATTAGGGCTTCAACATCTGAATTTCTCTGGACGAGGGGGGCACAATTCAGCCCATAACATACAGTAATGCTCATACATATGCTACTAATGATGGTATCAGGGAAGGTACAACTACTGAATGGAACGTTTTCACACGTTCTCCAGACTCGTAACGTCTTCTGGATATTTACTCAGAGTTGTGCATGACAAGAATCCCACCTCCTCCACTGGTTGCCTGCTAAACTTGGCTTGGCTTGTCCCAAATGCAGCATCCCCTGGGCTGATCACCCTGACAGCCTCTCGCACATTTCTTCCACGTGGGGAGGGACAGGGACACTGGCCAGTGGGTTTTCTTCTCATAAGAGTTGGTAATAGAAGCACTAGTCGACTTGATTTCTATTTTGCACTATTCTAGAATTATGGTATTTTGACCACAAAGAAACAGTGAGTCTAAAAGAAGATGTGGGCAGTGACCTCAGCTCTGTCATTTCATCTCCCCTTGGTTAACTGTCTCCAAAATAAAATATGGAGTTAACAACTCTGCTATAAACATCTTGGGCGCCTGTGGAACTGAACAAATAAGAATGGCTGTGAAGTGCTTCATAAACGTGTGTTTTCTATAAATGTTAACTACTTGCAACCTTTGTTTATTTCCCACCTGGTCGGCCGCTCAGCCAAGAGAAGCAGCATGGTCATTTAGCCCACGGTTTATTTGGTGACCCCATCAGGACGACACGATCCTTCTTCCTCGGATGACAACTCCCCCTGCTGTTTGCATGACTCAGGGCCAAACCCTTGGCTACAGTGGAGTCACTTACGCGTTGAATCGAGCTCGGACCACCACTCGGCAGAAGTTTCTGAACCTGTGCTCCCGACCCACGATGAACAGGGGCTTATCGAAGTACGGGTGGTTCTCCCTCAGCTCCTCTTCCTGCACTTTCCTGGACCAGGAAAATCGTGCGAGAGTTAGGCTAAGGGCACGTCTGCCTTCCCCAAACGAGAGCCTCAAAACACCGCCCTGCCCGTACCTTTTCATTTCTGCTTGCTCCTTTTTCTCCTGGATCATCTTTATTTCACTGTCTTCTCTTTGTGCATTTCTATATCTCACTGTATTGGAATGCTAGAAGTAAAATGAAAGGGGACACATCAACGTGGGAGATTTTTCTGACAGTCCTCCTCCGAAGATGACCATTAAAAAAAAAGGAAATAAATACTTTCTAAATACTTGAATGGCCACAGTTATCTTAGCAAGGATATTTTTTTTCCCTCAAAAGCGTATTTTTTTTCCAGTGAAAACATTTATTGAGAACCTATTATGTGCTATGCACTGTTGTAGTGCTGTGGATACGGCAAAAGGGGAAAAAGTGACAAAATCCCTGCTCTTGTGTGGCTAATGTTCTCATCAGGGGAGACAGATTAAAAATGAAATCAAAATAAATAAGAAAGTTAGAAGAGGTTTAGTGCTCTGGTTAAAAATAGGGGGATAGAGCAGCGGTCCTCAAACTTTTTGGCACCAGGGACTGGTTTTGTGGAAGACAATTTTTCCACAGACCCGGGGGATGCTTCAGGCAGTAATGCAAGCGATGGGGAGAGATGGGGAGCCATGGGGAGCAGCAGATGAAGCTTTGCTCGCTAGCCCGCCGCTCACCTCTTGCTGTGCGACAGGCTGAGGACGGGTGTTGCGGACCCCTGGGACACAGGACAGAGAGCACGAAGTCATAGCAGGTCTCGTTAAGGAGCTGTTCTTTGAGCAAAGACTAGGAGGATGCAGGTCACTGGACATTTGGAGAAATGTGTGCTTCTGGGGAGGGGTGGGTCTGTGTGTTCACAGGTTGAACACCCAGGACGCAGGGTGGGTGGAGGACAGGACAGAGAATAGGAAGAGCTGAGGCCAGCAGGATAGCGGAAGGTGGATCATTAGGATCTTGACTCTGGTTTTTACTCCATAGAACAGGAGTCCCCAACCCCCAGGCCACAGAACTGGTACCGGTCCGGGGCCTGTTAGGAACCAGGCTGCACAGCAGGAGGTGAGCGACGGACAAGCGAGCGAAGCTTCATCTGCCGCTCCCCATGGCTCCCCATCACTCCCCATGGCTCCCCATGGCTCTCCATCCCTCCCCTTGGCTCCCCATCCCTCGCCATGGCTCCCCATCCCTCCCCATGGCTCCCCATCACTCCCCATGGCTCCCCATGGCTCCCCATCCCTCCCATTGGCTCCCCATCCCTCCCCTTGGCTCCCCATCCCTCCCTATGGCTCCCCATCCCTCCCCATGGCTCCCCATCCCTCCCCTTGGCTCCCCATCCCTCCCCATGGCTCCCCATCCCTCCCCATGGCTCCCCATCCCTCCCCTTGGCTCCCCATC